CCTCTCTTGTACTTTGAAGCCATTGTTCCGCGTCCATTTTTCCGCACTCAAACTTCACCAGGATGTTGACTGGGTCTTGTGGGGGGGGGGGGGGTCTGTGTGCCATGTTTGGTCTTGTTCTGCCATTGTTGGGGGCCGCAAGGTGTTTTGGACTTCAACTCCAACCATTCCTGACAGCTTCAGGCCCCTTTCCTATTCCCTCTGCTACTTCGGAATGTTAAGGCATGAACATCAAGTTTGCAGATGACACCAAATTGGGAGGGATAGCCAATACTCCAGAGGACAGGAGCAGGATTCAAAACGATCTTGACAGATTAGAGAGATGGGCAAAAACTAACAAAATGAAGTTCAACAGTGACAAATGCAAGATACTCCACTTTGGCAGGAAAAACGAAATGCAAAGATACAGAATGGGGGATGCCTGGCTCGAGAGCAGTACGTGTGAAAAAGATCTTGGAGTCCTCGTGGACAACAAGTTAAACATGAGCCAACATGTGATGTGGCGGCAAAAAAAGCCAATGGGATTTTGGCCTGCATCAATAGAGAGCCTAGTGTCTAGATCCAGGGAAGTCATGCTCCCCATGCTCTATTCCCTTTGGTTAGACAACACCGTAGCCGCAGGGCAGCAAGGAGAGCACAGACTTCCACGACTGATTACCCTGATTATGTGTCCAGAGGAGGGCGACAAATGATCAAGGGTCTGGAGAACAAGCCCTATGAGGAGCGGCTTAAGAGCTGGGCATGTTTAGCCTGAAGAAGAGAAGACTGAGAGGAGATATGATAGCCATGTATAAATATGTGAGAGGAAGCCACAGGGAGGAGGGAGCAAGCTTGTTTTCTGCTTCCCTGGAGACTAGGACGCAATGGAACAACGGCTTCAAACTACAAGAGAGGAGATTCCATCTGAACATGAGGAAGAACTTCCTGACTGTGAGAGCCGTTCAGCAGTGGAACTCTCTGCCCCGGAGTGTGGTGGAGGCTCCTTCTTTGGAAGCTTTTAAACAGAGGCTGGATGGCCATCTGTCAGGGGTGATTTGAATGCAACATTCCTGCTTCTTGGCAGAATGGGGTTGGACTGGATGGCCCAGGAGGTCTCTTCCAACTCTTTGATTCTATGATTCTATATGCAAATTGTACCACAGTGGCAGCCAATCAGAATCTTAGAATGTTGAGGCTGGCCAATCAGAGACCTTATGCAAATAGTACCACAGTGGCAGCCAGTCAGAAAGCTGCCACATACACCTCTCGTCCTCTCTCCACATACAAACACTGACTTTTATTTTATACATCGATAGATATAGATAGATATATAGATTATTATTACTATTATAGATTATTATTACTATTATTACTATTATAGATATATAGATTATTATTGGCCACAGTGGTCCATGCTCTTGTTACATCCCAAATAGACTACTGCAACGCACTCAACGTGGGGTTGCCCTTGAAGACGGTTCGGAAATTTCAACTGGTTCAGTGAGCGGCTGCCAGGTTGCTCACTGGAGCGACATACAGGGAGCACACCACCCCTCTGCTATGTCAGCTCCACTGGCTGCCGGTGCAGTTCCGAGCCCAATTCAAGGTGCTGGTTTTGACCTACAAAACCCTGTACGGTTCCGGTCCAGTGTATCTGTCCGAACGTATCTCCCTCTACGTCCCACCCCGGAATTTGAGATCATCTGGGGAGGCCCTGCTCTCGACCCCACCGCTATCACAAGTGAGGCTGGTGGGGACGAGGAGCAGGGCCTTCTCAGTGGTGGCCCCTCACCTGTGGAACTCACTCCTGGGGGAAATTAGGGCATCAACATCCCTCCTTTCCTTCAGGAGGAAGGTAAAGACGTGGTTGTGGGACCAGGCCTTCGGGCAATCTGCTAACTAGATAAGGACAACCAGACGAATAGGATTGACAGGACTGACAATTGTGGAGAGGAGAGGTACTCCCCAAATATAACAAAAGAGCGCCGGTCTGTTTCTCAGTCTCGCTACCCAGTCCTCTCTTTGCGCCCGTCACCTGCCGAGCCTGGTGTGAATGTTATGCTTTGGAAGTCTTCGAGAGACGCTCAGCCCCCAGCCCAGCATATGTTTCATGGTTCGTGTGCCAGAAAGCGAAAGCTCGGGAGCTCCTTGGCAGGACGTTGGCTAAGTGTTTCCAGAGCTCGCCTGCCGCTCAGCAGCTGTTGGGTAGATTTTCTTCCATTTCTTGAAGGAACGGTAGCTAAGGGTGAGGAATGTTGGCCTACCCACACTTCCTACTTCCATGGTGCTTGGGAAGGTTTTTCCCTGGTCTCTATGCATCTTTCAAAGCTTCAATACTGGTGGAGTGGGCATTGATTTTGTCATTTGGGAGTTGAAGTTGCTGGGATTTATAGTTCACCTACAATCAAAGAGCATTCCGAACTCCACCAATGATGGAACTGAACCAAACTTGGCACACAGAACTCCCACGTCCAGCAGAAAATACTGGAAGGGTTTGGTGGGCATTGACCTTGAGTTTGGGAGTTGTAGTTCACCTACATCTAGAGAGTGCTGTGGACTTAACCGATGATGGATCTGGACCAAACTTGGCATGAATACTCAACATTCCCAAATGTGAACACTGGTGGATTTTGGGGGAAATAGACCTGAACATTTGGGAGTTGTAGTTGCTGAGATTTATAGTTCACCTACAATCAAAGAGCATTCCGAACTCCACCAATGATGGAACTGAACCAAACTTGGCACACAGAACTCCCACGTCCAGCAGAAAATACTGGAAGGGTTTGGTGGGCATTGACCTTGAGTTTGGGAGTTGTAGTTCACCTACATCCAGACAGCACTGTGGACTCAAACAATGATGGATCTGGACCAAACTTGGCATGAATACTCAACATTCCCAAATGTGAACACTGGTGGATTTTGGGGGAAATAGACCTTAACATTTGGGAGTTGTAGTTGCTGGGATTTATAGTTCACCTACAATCAAAGAGCCTTCTGAACCTCCTCTTCTTCCCCTTCCTCCTCTTCATCTTCCTCTTCTTCTTCTTTGTCTTCTTCCCCTCCCTTTTCTTCTGCTTCTTCCGCTTCCCTTCTTTCACCTCCTCTAGTTTTCCTCCTCCTCTTTGTCATCTTCCCCTTCCTCCTCTTATTTTTCCTCCACCTCCTCCCTCCTCCTCCTCTTTTTCTTCTTTCCCTTCCTCCTCTTTTCCTCCTCGTCGTCTTCCTCTTCTTCTTCTCTTTTCATCCTCTTCCCTTTTTCTTTTCCCCTCCCTATTCTTCTTCCTCTTTTTCTTTTTCTCATCTTCCTTCTCCTTCCCCTTCTCCTTCCTCATTTTTCCCCTTCCTCCTCTTGCTTTCCTCCTCCTCCTTTTCCTCTTTTTCTCCATCTTCTTCTTTTACCTCCTCTTCTTCTTCCTCTTGTTTTCCTCCTCCCCTCCTCCTTTTTCTCTGTTTCTTCATCCCCTTTCTCCTCCTCTTTTCCTCCTCCCTCCTCTTCCATTTTCTTCTTCCCATTCCTCCTCCTTTTTCTCTGTTTCTTCTTCCCCTTCCTCCTCCTCTTTCCTCCTCTTCCTCTTTTTTTTCTTCTCCTTCCTCCTCCTCCTCTTTTTCTTCCTCTTCCTCCTTTTCTTTTCCTTCTCCACCTTTTCTCCTCTTCCTCTTTGTCTTCTTCTTCCTCCTCCTCCTTTTTCTCCTCCTCCTTCCTCCTCTTCATTTTTCTTCTTCCCCTTCCTCCTCCTTTTTCTTTCTTCTCCCTTCCTCTTCTTTTTCTCCTCCTTCTTCCTTCCCTTCCTCTTTTTCTTCTTCCCTTCTCCTCCTCTCTTTACCTCCTCCTCTTCTTCTAGTTGTTTTCCTCCTCCCCTCCTCCTTTTCCTCTGTTTCTTCTTCCCCTTTCTCCTCTTCTTTTCCTCCTCCCTCCTCTTCCTTTTTCTTCTTCCCATTCTTTCTATTTTTTCTCTGTTTCTCTTTCCCCTTCCTCCTCCTTTTTCTCTGTTGCTTCTTCCCCTTCCTCCTCCTCTTTCCTCCTCTTCCTCTTTTTTCTTCTCCTTCCTCCTCCTCCTCTTTTTTTCCTCTCTCCTCCTTTCTTTTCTTCTCCTTTTTTCCCTCTTCCTCTTTTCTTCTTCCTCCTCCTTTTCTCCTCCTTCCTCCTCTTCATTTTTCTTCTTCCCCTTCCTCCTTTTTCTTTCTTCCTTCCCTTCCTCTTCTTTTTCTCCTCCTCCTTCTTCCTCCCCTTCCTCTTTTTCTTCTTCCCCTTCCTTTCCTCCTCTTTTTCTTCCTCTTCCTCCTCCTCTTCCTTTTTCCACCTTTTTCCTCTTCTTCCCCTTTATCTTTTTACCCTTCCTCCTCCTCCTCCTTCCTCGTTTTCTTCTTCCCCTTTCCTCTTCTCCTCCTCTTTTTCTTCCTCTTCCTCCTCCTCTTCCTTCTCCACCTTTTACCTCTTCTTCCCCTTTATCTTTTTACCCTTTCTCTTCTTCCTCCTCCTCCTTCCTCGTTTTCTTCTTCCCCTTCCTCTCCTCCTCCTCTTTTTCTTCCTTTTCCTCTTCCTCCTCCTCTTCCTTCTCCACCTTTTTTCCTCTTCTTCCCCTTTATCTTTTTACCCTTCCTCTTCCTCCTCCTCCTCCTCCTTCCTCGTTTTCTTCTTCCCCTTCCTCTCCTCCTCCTCTTTTTCTTCCTTTTCCTCTTCCTCCTCCTCTTCCTTCTCCACCTTTTTTCCTCTTCTTCCCCTTTATCTTTTTTACCCTTCCTCTTCCTCCTCCTCCTCCTCCTCCTTCCTCGTTTTCTTCTTCCCCTTCCTCTTCTCCTCCTCTTCCTCCTCCTTTTCCTTCTCCACCTTTTTCCCTCTTCTTCCCCTTTATCTTTTTCACCTTCTTCTTCTTCCTCCTCCTCCTCTCCTCATGTTCTTCTTCCCTTTCCTCCTCTTCCCCTTCCTCCTCTTGGGAAGCCAGCTTTCCCCCTCTGGATCCTCCTTCAACTAGAGCAGCAGCAAGTCCTTCAAACCATTCTTTCTTCTCGTTCCTTTGCAGATAGCATGATCCGTGTGGGAGCGGATTATCAAGCTGTGATCCCAGAGTGCAAACCAGGTAAAGGGAGTCTGTTGGGAAGGGCAATGGCTAAGCACGGACAGGACCGAGCAAGATGGCAACAATGCGCCCAGCCTCTTCCAGGGAAGGATTGTTGCCCTTCCAAATCTATGTCTCCCTCAAGGAGAGCCTGACCGCTTTCTTGCCCTACCTTTGGCCCCAGGTGGCTTTTCCGACGCTCTTCCTTGCAACTTGAAGCTCAATATTAGTATTATATATTACTATATAGTAATATACCACTATACTGCCATATTGTTAGTAGTATTCCATGTAATATATAATATCCAATTATTATATTGTATTATTATTATTAGTCCATTATAATATTATTACCAATATTATATGTACATACAATATATTATATTATTAGCATAGCACAATAATAGTAATATATACCACTATATTATTAGTAATATTTCATGTAATAAATATAATCATTGAATTATTATCTTGTATTATTAGTAATATATTGCATTACAATATTATAGACAATATTATCTGTACATACAATGTATTATATTATTAGCATAGCACAATAATAGTAATATATACCACTATATTATTAGTAATATTTCATGTAATAAATATAATCATTGAATTATTATCTTGTATTATTAGTAATATATTGCATTACAATATTATAGACAATATTATCTGTACATACAATGTATTATATTATTAGCATAGCACAATAATAGTAATATATAGTACTATATTGTACTGTACCACTATACTGCAATATTATTTGTAATAGTACATGTAATATATTATATACAATTATTATATTGTATTATTATTAGTATTATATTGTAGTAGATTCTAATATTACCAATATTATATGTACATACAATATATTATATTATTAGCATAGCACAATAATAGTAATATATAGTACTATATTATTAGTAATATTTCATGTAATAAATATAATCATTGAATTATTATCTTGTATTATTAGTAATATATTGCATTACAATATTATAGACAATATTATCTGTACATACAATGTATTATATTATTAGCATAGCACAATAATAGTAATATATAGTACTATATTGTACTGTACCACTATACTGCAATATTATTTGTAATAGTACATGTAATATATTATATACAATTATTATATTGTGTTATTATTAGTATTATATTGTAGTAGATTCTAATATTACCAATATTATATGTACATACAATATATTATAATATTAGCATAGCACAATATTAGTGTTATATATTACTATATTGTACTATACCACTATATTGCAATATTATTAGTAATATTTCATGTAATAAATATAATCATTGAATTATTATATTGTATTATTAGTAATATATTGCATTACAATATTATAGACAATATTATCTGTACATACAATGTATTATATTATTAGCATAGCACAATAATAGTAATATATATATTACTATATTGTACTGTGCCACTTGTCAATTCTTCCTCACACCTAGCTCCAGCAGACAAGAGTCCTTTGCCCCACCCTGGTCATTCCACAGATATATAAACCCTTTTTCCTAGTTCCAACAGACCTCACTACCTCTGGGGATGCTTGCCATAGACACAGGCGAAACGTCAGGAGAGAATGCCGCTAGACCATGGCCATATAGCCCGAAAAAACCTACAACAACCTAGTGATTCCGGCCATGAAAGCCTTCGACAATACACTATATTTTTTTATATGTATATTTATTAGTAGTAATATATTGCATTACAATATTATAATCCATATTATGTATTGTTAGCCTAGCACAATGTGAGTGTTATATATGTGCTGATGACCCGTTCTCTTCTTTGCAACCTACAGAGAGCCCAGCTCGCTACAGCAACAAGGAGTTGAAAGGGATGCTTGTCTGGTCGCCAAATCATTGTGTCTCGGATGCCAAACGTGAGTCTCGAGTCTCTCCTCCCTCGGCGGCGGGTTCGGCTCTCTTCCTCCCAACCCTATTGCCCCGTGGATACGCCTCCGCCCGCCTCTCCCCTTTCCAACCAATTTCTGAACCGGTTCCAGAAGCAGCCAAGACCCAGCCTTGCTCAAAGAGGGGTGGGGGCGGGGAAGGCATGCCGTCTCCCTGGGCTGGAAGCAGAGCCTCTGACTGACAGCTCCCCCGTCCCCCCTCCTGGGACTCCTAGAAGCAATTACCGTGCGGCTGGTGTGCTGCCTCCGGCTCCTGGGTTATTAATCTGGCTGGTGCAGGGAGCTTGGGCTTGGTGCGCATGGAATGGGGGGAGCATAGGTGGAAACAGGGCTGCTTTCTGGGCTGAAGAGGAGAGGCCCAGAGTGATTCCTTGATATTTATCCACTAGCTGTACCTGCCACGCGTTGCTGTGGCCAACCTTCCCTCTTTCCCTTCTTCTTTCCCTTCTTCTTTCCCTCCTTCCCTCCTTCCCCCTTTTTCTTTCTCTTCTGCTTTCTCTTTTCTTCCTTCTCTCTTTCCTTCTTTCCTTCCCTCCCTCTTTCTCTACATCTTCCTCCCCTTCCTTCACTCCCTCTTTCCTTCCTTCCTTCCTTCCTTCCTTCCTTCCTTCCTTCCTTTCTCTCTTCCTTCCTCCCTTTCCTTCCTTTCCCCCTTTTCTTTCTCTCTCTTCCCCCCCTTCCTCCTCCCCTTCCTTCCTTTCCGTCTTTCCTTCTCTATTTCCTTCCTTCTCCCTTTTTCTTTCTCTTCTGCTTTCTCTTCTCTTCCTTCTTTCCTTCGCTCCCACTTTCTCTACATCTTCCCTCTTCCTTCACTCCCTCTTTCTCTACTTCCTTCCTTCCTTCCTTCCTTCCTTCCTTCCTTCCTTCCTTCCTTCCTTCCTTCCTTTCCCCTTTTTCTTTCTCTTCTGCTATCTCTCTTTTTTCTCTTCTCTTTCCTTTCCATCCCTCTTTTTCTACATCTTCACCCCTTCCTTCGCTCCTTCCTTCCTTCCTTCCTTCCTTCCTTCCCTTCCTTCCTTCCTTCCTTCCTTCCTTCCTTCCCTCCCTCCCTCCCTCCCTCCCGTCTTTCCTTCTCTTCTTCCGTCCTTCTCTTTCCTTCCTTTCCCCCTTTTCTTTCTCTTCTACTGTCTCTCTTCCTCCTTTCTTTCCTTCTTTCCTTCCCTCCCTCTTTCTCTACATCTTCCCCCTTCCTTCACTCACTCCTTCCTTCTTTCCTTCCTTCCTTCCCGTCTTTCCTTCTCTTCTTCCTTCCTTCCCTATCCTTCTTTCCCTTTTCTTTCTCTTCTGCTCTCTTTTCTTTCTTCTCTCTTTCCTTCTTTCCTTCCCTCTCTCCCCTTCAAGCACTAATTGGAGTAGAGGCTTGGCCTCGGCCTGGAGCTCTGCGCCCCTTCTGCTGGGATTCCCCCGCGCTCCTGCCCCCGGCTGTGAGGAAACATCGAGGCTGCGAGGAAACAACCCGGACAAACCCCAGGGCATGCTGGATGGCTACACCACCATCGTAACACCAGTGCAATAACACCAAATAAACAACGTAGTGTGGTTGTTGGCTCAAAAATATGATTTAACATCACAATTACGGACACTTAGAGCCTAAACGAAAAAACAGGAAGCTTGTCCGCTCATTGACTCAGTTGTTAATACAATCTCAGAGCTCTGCACCCTAAGAACTGGACGCTCATCGACCTTATACTGCCCTCTGCAGACAAGACAGAACGTGCAAATAACATCTTTCTATATAACGTGCAATCTGCAAAATTGTGCTGCTAACCAACAATAATTGTAACTGTTGTCCTTACGGTGCAGGCTACCAGCTGTTCCTGCTCTGTGTCATCTTTCCTCAAGACGGACAAGAAGAACCAGGGGCCTGACCTCTGGGTGCCGGCTTGTTCTTCACGGGCCCAAAGGGCCAGGTTCTATGGCTGAATTGGTCTGTCTTGTTGAGGGACAATAATCATTGCACAAATTTTTGCACTTACGACAATAATTCTGCACTAATTTTTGCACTAATTTTGCACTATAGAATTATTTCAGCACTTTATCTCAGCACTTTAGTTCTCTGCCAGATCCCATATTATTATTAACTGGTCCAAAATATCAGGTCAAGTGGTTACGACTGTGCACTTATATCCTGAGCTCTAAGTTCCCGCATCAGCACTTTACTCATATGTCAATGTTTACACTACCCCTGCTGCTATTGATATTTTGTCAATCTCCAGCACAAGTGCACTTTATAACAACTCCAGTACAAGTGCACTTTACAGCCTTTACTACACTGGAAGGAATAGGTAGTTTCATGGGGCGGGAACATTGGGATCCAGAGACAGGTAACCACAACTATAACCAAACGTCTGTTATTGAGATAACAAGTGCTGGAAATGGAGGCAACTTCCCCGGGGGGGGGGTGGTTCTGCGGGCCGGGGGGCCACCATAGAGGTGGTGACAGGTAGAGGGAGATACGGGAAAGGGAGAACAAAACACCCATCTTGGCTCAAAATTTACAACAATAGATTGACAACCTCCAAAAATGGTAACCATCATAGACAAAATCAAATTCGGCCCAAAATTTTCAGCAGAACATTGGCAATCCCAAAAATCAATGCTACTATCCGGCCCGAAATCAACAAAAATAGATTGGCGATTCCAAAACTCTCTCCTGACAAGATACAACTGAGGTGCCAGGACGGTGGCCCCTCCAGGCTAAAGGTGGTGCTGTTCAATGCCAGGTCGGTAAACGGAAAAACCTCCATCATCCAAGATCTAATCCAAGAAGAATGAGCCGACCTGGCTTGTATAACAAAAACCTGGCTGGGACGAGGGGGGAGGGGTTAATCTCTCCCAACTCTGTCCACCAGGCTATTCTGTTCAGCACCAACCAAGGCTTGGAGGGTGGGGAGGCGGAGTCGCAGTGGTCTATAAGGACTTTATCCCACTGATCAGGCGTCCCATCCCACAATCATCTTCCTTCGAGTGTGCCGGCTTTAGGATAGGTGACCGGGACAGGATAGGGATTCTGTTAGTGTACCGACCACCCCGCTGCACTACAGTCTCCTTACCTGAGCTAGCAGGAGTGGTCTCGGACATGGCGTTGAACTCCCAACGGCTCTTGGTCTTGGGAGATTTCAATATCCATGCTGAGGCCCCTCTTTGGTCTTCACCCAAGGATGGGATGAGGGTGACGGGATGGAGGAGCCGACCATCGCTCCTTTGCCATGGACCGATCACCACCTGATCAGTTTTAGACTAACTGTGCCTTCTAACCTTCGCAGGGGTGGTGGACCCATTAGAATGGTCCGCCCCAGGAGACTTATGGATCCAAATGGTTTCCTGACGGCCCTTGGGGATTTTTCCACTTCCTTGGCTAGCGACACTGTCGACGCTCTGGTCTCTGGCTGGAATAGTGAGCTGACCAGGGCAATCAACACTATCGCGCCGGAACGCCCCCTCTCGAGTAACCGAGCTAAACCAGCCTCTTGGTTTACTGAGGAGCTGGCAGCAATGAAGCGAAAGAAGAGGAGGTTAGAGTGCGTGTGGCACCAGAATCCCACCAATCCAGCCCAAACACATCTGAATGCCTTCCTAAGGTCCTACGGTGTGGCAATAGCGGTGGCTCAGAAAACATTAATCACAGCCAATATTGCATCCGCAAAGAATCGTCCAGCGGAGCTTTTCCGAGTTGTCAGAGGCCTGTTAAATCCGCCAAAAAGCGAGGCCTTGGATAACTCGGTGGCTCGCTGTGACGCATTTGCTCGTTCCTTCGCGGATAAAATTGAGCGGATTCGGTCAGGTTTTGACGTCACATTAACAGCAGTCTCTGGGGATGTAACGAGAGCATCTGCTTGTCCAGTTTTGTTGGATTCGTTTCAATTGGTTCAGCTTGAGGATGTGGACAGGATCCTTGGAGAGGTGCGACCCACCACATGCATCCTAGACCCCTGCCCTTCCTGGCTGATCAAGGAAGCCAGAGGGGGTTTGGCAGGGTGGGTGAAGGTGATGGTTAATACTTCCTTACAGGAAGGAAAATTTCCAGCGAGATTAAAACAAGCTATTATAAAACCGCTGTTGAAGAAACCATCACTGGATCCCACCCAATTCGACAACTATCGGCCAGTTTCCAATCTCCCCTACTTGGGCAAAGTCATGGAACGTGTGGTGGCAACACAACTCCAGGGGTTTCTGGTAGACACTGATTATCTTGATCCGGCACAGTCTGGCTTTAGGCCGGGACATGGAACTGAGACAGCCTTGGTCGCCTTGGTAGATGATCTGCGCAGGGAGCTAGACAGGGGGAGTGTGTCCCTGTTAGTTCTGCTGGACCTCTCAGCGGCCTTCGATACCGTCGATCACGGTATTCTTCTGGGGCGCCTCATGGACATGGGGCTCGGAGGCACTGCTCTGCGGTGGCTCCGATCCTTCCTTGAGGGACAGACCCAGAAGGTGTTATTGGGTGACACCTGTTCGGCTCCGCAACCGTTGTTGTGTGGAGTCCCACAGGGTTCAATTCTGTCCCCGATGTTATTTAACATCTACATGAAGCCGCTGGGAGAGATCATTCGGAGTTTCGGACTAAGATGTTATCTCTATGCAGATGACGTCCAAATCTGTCACTCCTTCTCACCTGTCACCAAGGAGGCTGTCCAGACCTTGAACCGGTGTTTAGCCGCTGTATCGGACTGGATGAGAGCTAACAAATTGAAATTGAATCCAGACAAGACAGAGGTCCTACTGGTCAGTCGGAAGGCCGAACAGGGCATAGGGTTACAGCCTGTGTTAGACGGGGTTACACTCCCCCTGAAGACGCAGGTTCGCAGCTTGGGAGTGATCCTGGACTCATCGCTGAGCCTGGAACCCCAGGTCTCAGCGGTGGCCGGGAGAGCTTTCGCACAATTAAAACTTGTGCGCCAGCTGCGCCCGTACCTTGGGAAGTCGATCTGGCCACGGTGGTCCACGCTCTTGTCACATCCTGGTTGGATTACTGCAACGCACTCTACGTGGGGTTGCCTTTGAAGACTGCTCGGAAACTTCAACTAGTCCAGCGAGAAGCAGCCAGATTGCTCACCGGAGCGGCGTACAGGGAGCATACCACCCCCCTGTTGCGTCAGCTCCACTGGCTGCCGATCCAATTCCGAGCACAATTCAAAGTGCTGGTTTTGACCTATAAAACCCTATACGGTTCTGGCCCAGTGTCTGTCCAAACGGATCTCCCTCTACGTCCCACCTCGGAGTTTAAGATCTTCTGGGGAGGCCCTGCTCTCGACCCCACCTCTATCACAAGTGAGGTTGGTGGGGACGAGGAGCAGGGCCTTCTCAGTGGTGGCCCCTCACCTGTGGAATTCACTCCCCAGGGAAATTAGGTCATCGACATCCCTCCTCTCTTTTAGAAGAAAATTAAAAACATGGATTTGTTGGCGTTCAGGAAAAAACTGAAGACCTGGATATGGGACCAAGCTTTTGGACATTCTGGCAGCTAAAGGAAAAACCCGATGATGAGCAGGAATTGATGGAATGGAATGGACATTTGGAACTCTGAACACTGAGCATGAGATTGTTTATGTATTGATGATGATTTTAATTTGTCAACTGTTTTAAGTGCTTTTATGTATGTATGTATATTTGATATAGGCATCGAATTGTGCCTTCTTTTGTAAGCCGCCCTGAGTCCCCCCTCGGGGGTGAGAAGGGCGGGGTAGAAGTAATTGAAATAAATAAATAAATAAATTTTCTCCCTTCCCTTCCCGGGCTCATAATGAGCCTCTGAGCCATGTGCTGCCAACCTTCCTTCAACCTCCCTTTCTCTTTCCCTTTCCCTTCTCCCTTCCCTTCCCGGGCTCATAATGAGCCTCTGAGCCATGTGCTGCCAACCTTCTTTCAACCTCCCTTTCTCTTCTCCCTTCCCTTCCCGGGCTCATAATGAGCCTCTGAGCCATGTGCTGCCAACCTTCTTTCAACCTCCCTTTCTCTTCTCCCTTCCCTTCCCGGGCTCATAATGAGCCTCTGAGCCATGTGCTGCCAACCTTCTTTCAACCTCCCTTTCTCTTTCTCTTTCTTTTCTCCCTTCCCTTCCCGGGCTCATAATGAGCCTCTGAGCCATGTGCTGCCAACCTTCCTTCAACCTCCCTTTCTCTTTCCCTTTCCCTTCTCCCTTCCCTTCCCGGGCTCATAATGAGCCTCTGAGCAATGTGCTGCCAACCTTCCTTCAACCTCCCTTTCTCTTTCCCTTTCCCTTCTCCCTTCCCTTCCCGGGCTCATAATGAGCCTCTGAGCCATGTGCTGCCAACCTTCCTTCAACCTCCCTTTCTCTTTCCCTTTCCCTTCTCCCTTCCCTTCCCGGGCTCATAATGAGCCTCTGAGCCATGTGCTGCCAACCTTCCTTCAACCTCCCTTTCTCTTTCCCTTTCCCTTCTCCCTTCCCTTCCCGGGCTCATAATGAGCCTCTGAGCAATGTGCTGCCAACCTTCCTTCAACCTGCCTTTCTCTTTCCCTTTTCCTTCTCCCTTCCCTTCCCGGGCTCATAATGAGCCTCTGAGCCATGTGCTGCCAACCTTCCTTCAACCTCCCTTTCTCTTTCCCTTTCCCTTCTCCCTTCCCTTCCCGGGCTCATAATGAGCCTCTGAGCCATGTGCTGCCAACCTTCCTTCAACCTCCCTTTCTCTTTCCCTTTCCCTTCTCCCTTCCCTTCCCGGGCTCATAATGAGCCTCTGAGCCATGTGCTGCCAACCTTCCTTCAACCTCCCTTTCTCTTTCCCTTTCCCTTCTCCCTTCCCTTCCCGGGCTCATAATGAGCCTCTGAGCAATGTGCTGCCAACCTTCCTTCAACCTGCCTTTCTCTTTCCCTTTTCCTTCTCCCTTCCCTTCCCGGGCTCATAATAAGCCTCTGAGCCATGTGCTGCCAACCTTCCTTCAACCTCCCTTTCTCTTTCCCTTTCCCTTCTCCCTTCCCTTCCCGGACTCATAATGAGCCTCTGAGCCATGTGCTGCCAACCTTCCTTCAACCTCCCTTTCTCTTTCCCTTTCCCTTCTCCCTTCCCTTCCCAGGCTCATAATGAGCCTCTGAGCCATGTATATAGCGCAATGACTGCCGTGCCAAAATTCCGCCCCTCCCCTCCCAAAAACTTCTCCCCTCATTGGCTGGGAGGCAAGCATCCCAGCATGCAACCTGCTTGCCTCCAAACGCTGACTCAGTTCCAATTCACCTCCTGAGTCGGAAGAAAAATGGCGAGAAAAATGGTTCGGAAGGACAAACTGACTTCCGGTTTCCTTAAAAACGTCAAAATAGCTTCAAAAAGGTAATTTTCCCAACTTCATTCTGAATTACGAATATTCCGACGGTACCTAACCATGCCTACAAAGCACTCCTTGAGGGAAATACAGTATCCCGATACAGTAGCGTCTCGCCTATCTGACCTTTGCTGATCCGACGTTCCGTCTTATCCGACGCCTCCTTTTTCCTCCGGCATTTCCCCTTCAATTCAAGGGGCACTCCCCAACTCTCTCTCTATTCCTAATAAGTGAAAAAGGCAAGACAAGGAGGAGGAGGAGGGAGGAAAGAGGGGAAAGAGGCAGGACTGGAAGCCTCCTCTGGGATTTCCACGCTCCTCTTCCGCATCCAACCCTGAGGCATTGCCTTGCCTTAACCTTTTGAGTCCCTGTTGTTAATATTCTAGGTGTCTAGTGCTGTGTCGGATGGGTAACAGTAGGAGACTCCGTATTAGCCGACATTTTCGTCTATCCGACATTCTGCCGGCCTTTTTATGTTGGATAAACGAGACTTTCCTGTATCTACAACCAACTCTCGCTCTTTCTCCAGTAGCGCCTGATGTTTGTCTCTTTCTCCCTCTAGTGGACAAATACATTGCCATGGCCAAGGAGAAGCACGGCTACAACATAGAGCAGGTAAAACGAAAACAATATATGATTCTGCTGTGAAGGTAGAGTCTTACTTCTAAAAGTTTTATTTATTTATTTCATATTAAAAGCATTGCATAAATTAGTATAAAACCGATAAAAATGGAATGTGCAGCGGCAGCTAAATATCTTTGGATCAAAAACAGGCAACAGCAATGGCATTGTCTGTAGCCTCCAACAATTCTTCCTCTGTACATGAGGCAGGGCATAGTGGACAAGCATAGCGGACAAGTTGTCTGTTCTGCTTCACAGTCACACAAGGTGTGGGACTCTTTTAGGCAATGCTTCAAGCAAAAAGTGGGCACTAGAAACAACATCATACGAAAGCTGACTGGCACAACCTGGGGATCACAACCAGACACAGTGAAGACATCTGCCCTTGCGCTATCCTACTCTGCTGCTGAGTATGCATGCCCAGTGTGGAACACATCTCACCACGCTAAAACAGTGGATGTGGCTCTTAATGAGACATGCTGCATTATCACGGGGTGTCTGCGCCCTACACCACTGGAGAAATTACACTGCTTAGCCGGTCTTGCACCACCTGACATCCGCCGGGAAGTAGCAGCCAATAGTGAAAGGACCAAGGCAGAGACATCTCCAGTTCATCCCTTGTTTGGGTGTCAGCCAGCACGTCAACGACTTAAATCAAGAAATATTTTTGTAAGATCTACAGAGACAATTACTGGAACACCTCAGCAAGCAAGAGTCCAAAAGTGGCAGAACTTCAATCAATGAGAGACTCCCTCCTGGGCACAGAGAAAACTGGGCGACTTGGAAGGCGCTGAACAGACTGCGCTCTGGCACCACGAGATGCAGAGCCAACCTTCAGAAATGGGGCTACAAAGTGGAATCCACGACATGCAAATGCGGAGAAGAGCAAACTACAGATCACCTGCTGCGATGCACCCTGAGCCCTGCCACATGCACAATGGAGGACCTCCTTGCGGCAACACCAGAGGCACTCCAAGGGGCCAGATACTGGTCAAAGGACATTTAATCAACCACCAAGCTTGCAAACTTTGTGTTTTGTCTGTTTGTTTGTTTTTGTTAAATATGTAATACAACATAAAAATAAAATAAATGTTCTCTTTCCGAGCTGCTCATTTCTGCGCCTTTGTCCCTTTCCTGCAGGCGCTGGGGATGTTGCTGTGGCACAAACACGACGTGGAGAAGTCCCTGGCCGACTTGGCCAACTTCACACCATTCCCAGACGAATGGACCGTGGAGGACAAAGTCCTGTTTGAACAAGCCTTCAGCTTCCATGGCAAGAGCTTTGCTCGGATCCAACAGATGGTATGTAGTCCACTTCCACTGATATGCTGATGGAACCCACAATAGCCTGGCATTTGGTTGGTATCTTTTGATATGTGCCAACCCTCCTGCCCCAGTCCTGGCTGACAGATAACTCTGGGAATGAGGAGATTTGGACCAGGTCTCCATATGTCTACATTTTGATGGGCACACCATGCTGCCAAGTACATCGATGCTTACTTAGGCAATCCCTTGTTATCCAAGTATGATGGCCTTCCAAGTGCAGTGGTCCATAGGTGACCGTGGAGACCTATTCTTGATCTGCATATTTTTCCACAGTGAGGGCATTATTTCCATACGGAAGAGTTGACATGCCTTCCTCTTGACACGTTTCTCCCTTTCCCCCTCCATTCATGCCTCTTCAAATTCTACAACACTGCTGGTCACAGCTGAACTCCAGTTGGAGCGCTCAAGGGCCAGGGCTTCCCTATTCTCTCTTGACGTCTATGCCAGAGTTTTTAAGGTTGGCTTTCAGCCCATCTTTCAATCTCTTTTCCTGTCCACCAATATTCTGTTTTCTGTTCTTGAGTTGTGAGTAGAGCAACTGGTTTGGGAGACAGTGATCGGGAATTCAGACAATACAGCATTCAGTCCAGCGGACTTTATTTATTTATTTATTTATTAATTATTTATTTATTTGCAGCATTTATATTCCTGCAAATTTATATAGCTTGTAAATCGCCTAGAGCATCTTGGATGGAGGGCAATTAATAAGTAATTAAATGATGATGATGATGATGATGATGATATTCTGCCCTTCTCACCCCGCAGGGGACTCAGGGCGGATTACAGTGTACACATATATGGCAAACATCCAATGCCAATTTTTTGACATACAAACATATACAGACATACACAGATGCTATTTTTAACTTTTTCTGGCCGCCAGGGGAGCTGTCGCTTTCATCGTCCATCTGCGACGCTGATGAAGCACTTCCGCATTCCCCGCATGCTTCCCCGCTGGAATGCTTTGCTGGAGTCTTCTTTATGGCCTCATAAATCAGTTAATTTAGCCTCCCCACACTTTAAGGTGGTACCTAATTTTCCTACTTGACAGATGCAACTGTCTTTCGGGTTGCAAAGGTCGACAACAGGCTACACACAATTGGTTGGAAACCCACTCCAACCAGGGCTGGCTTCGAACTCATGACCTTTTGGTCAGAGTGATCTTAATGCAGCTGACACTCAGCCAGCTGCCCCACAATCCCGGTGCCACAATCCCTGTTGACCTATGCTTCTTCCAACATGCTGATATTTTCCCGCCTGCCTTCCCAAGAGATTTGTAGGATTTTGTGGAGGCAATGCTGATGGAATCATTCCAGGAGTTGCGTGTGATGTCTGTAGACAGTCCACGTTTCACAGGGGTATAACAGGGTTGGGAGGACAATGGCTTTATAAACAAGCACCTAGCTCCTCAGTGCGCTATTATGATCCACATAATCTATCTCCTCTGTTGGACCGGCTACATTGTCCGGATGCCCGACCACCGTCTCCCAAAGCGGTTGCTCTACTCCGAACTCAAGAACGGAAAATGGAATGTTGGTGGGCAGGAAAAGAGATTTAAAGATGGGCTCAAAGCCAACCTTAAAAACTCTGGCATAGACACTGAGAACTGGGAAGCCCTGGCCCTTGAGTGCTCCAGCTGGAGGTCAGCTGTGACCAGCAGTGCTGCAGAATTTGAAGAGGCCCGAATGGAGGGCGAAAGAGAGAAACGTGCCAAGAGGAAGGCACATCAAGCCAACCCTGACTGGGACCGCCTTCCACCTATGCCCTCAATGCGGGAGAAGATAATAAGGCTCCACAGTCACCTACGGACCCATCGCCAGGACAGCCATCTTGGAAGACAATCCTACTCAGACAACGAGGGATCACCTAAGTCACCTAAGGGCTTTGAGTCCCCTGAGAAAAGCGGTATATAAATGAAGTAAATAAATAAATAAATAAAATAAGTAAATAAGTAAGTAAGTAAGCAAGTAAGTCATGCTACCCGTGCTCTATTCTGCCTTGGTTAGACCACATCTGGAATACCGTGTCCAAGCTGGAATGTGTCCAGGGGAGGGCGACTAAAATGATCCAGGGTCTGGAGAACAAGCCCTATGAGGAGCGGCTTAAAGAGCCAGGCATGTTTAACTTGAAGAAGAGAAGGCTGAGAGGAGATATGATAATCATGTATAAGTATGTGAGGGGAAGCCACAGGGAGGAGGGAGCAAGCTTGTTTTCTGCTTCCCTGGAGACTAGGATGCAGAACAATGGCTTCAAACTACAAGAAAGGAGATTCCACCTGAACATTAGGAAGAATTTCCTGACTGTGAGAGCTGTTCAGCAGTGGAACTCTCTGCCCCGGAGTGTGGTGGAGGTTCCTTCTTTGGAAACCTTTAAACAGAGGCTGGATGACCATCTGTCGGGGGTGCTTTGAATGCAATTTTCCTGCTTTTTGGCAGAATGGGGTTGGACTGGATGGCCCACGAGGTCTCTCTGACTCTATTTCTCCTCTATGTTTCCTCTGCAGCTTCCTGATAAACTGATCCCAAGCTTGGTGAAGTATTACTATTCCTGGAAGAAGACTCGGACCAGGACCAGTGTGATGGACAGGCAAGCCCGAAAGCTCCTTAGCAAGAAAGAAAAGGATGACAGGTCAGAGACTGAGCCTCAACTGGGATCACTGGGCTTTGGTTTTATGGTTTTATGGCAGGAGAACAACACTCGCCGCTGCCCGGGTTATTTGAGAAGAGCATTGTTTGTCTGTGCTCCAAGTTTAGTCTAGATCCAATGTTGACTGGGTTCAGTGGGTGCAGGTGAAGTATAGCTCCGTGGTACATCCTTCTCCAAACCGCACCAAAATGTAGAATGGGTCATGGGGGTTCAGGGTGCCAAGTTAGGTTTTGATCAGTTGAAGGTGCAGGTCGCAATGGTCTTAGGAAGTGAGTGAAACTACTGCAAGTCCCATCATCCATGGTCCATTGGCCCACAAACCCCACCCAGATGTAGAGTGGGCCATGGGGGCTCTGTGACCCAAGTTTGGTCTTTATCGGTCATTAGATGAGGGTCGCAGTGGTCTCAGGAAGTGAGCGAAGGTACTGCAAGTCCCATCACCCGTGGTCCGTCCTCATTCAAACTGCACCAGAACGCACAGTGGGTCATGGGGGCTCTGTGTGTCAAGTTTGGTCTTTATTGGTCATTGGATGATGGTCGCAGTGGTCTCAGGAAGCGAGTGAAGGTACTGCAAGTCCCATCACCCATGGTCCGTCCTCATTCAAACTGCACCAGGATGTAGAGTGGGTCATGGGGGCTCTGTGTGTCAAGTTTGGTCTTTATCAGTCATTGGTGGAAGTTCGCAGTGGTCTCCGGAAGTGAGTGGAGGTACGCAAGTCCCATCATCCATGGTCCAACCCCCTCCAAATCGCACCAGGATGTAGAGTGGGTCATGGGTTCTCTGTGTGCCAAGTTTGGTCTTCATCAGTCATTGAATGTGGGTCGCAGTGGTCTCCGGAAGTGAGTGGAGGTCCCAATTTTCATGGTCCATCCTCCCCCAAACTGCACCAGAATGTTGAGTGAGTCATGGGGCCTCTGTGTGCTAAGTTTCGTCCTTATCCATCATTGGTGTGGGTCACAGGGCTCTCAGGATGTGAGTAACAGTACTGCATGTCCCATCATCCATGGTCTGTCCTTCTTCAAACTGCACCAGGATGTAGAGTGGGTCATGGGGGCTCTGTGTGTCAAGTTTGGTCTTTATCGGTCATTGGATGAGGGTCGCAGTGGTCTCAGGAAGTGAGTGAAGGTACTGCAAGTCCCATCATCTATGGTCTGTCCTCCTTCAAACTGCCCCAGGATGTAGAGATGGGTCATGGGGGCTCTGTGTCAAGTTTGGTCTTTATTGGTCATTGGATGAGGGTCGCAGTGTTCTCAAGAAGTGAGTGAAGGTACTGCAAGTCCCATCATCGATGTTCTGGCCTCCTTCAAACTGCCCCAGGATGTAGAGTGGGTCATGGGCGCTCTGTGTGTCAAGTTTGGTTGTTATCGGTCATTGAATGAGGGTCGCAGTGGTTTCAGGAAGTGAGTGAAGGTACTGCAAGTCCTATCATCCACGGGGCATCCTCCCCCAAACTGCACCTGGATGTAGAGTGGGTCATGTGGGCTCTGTGTGCCAAGTTTCGTCTTGGTCTATCATTGGTAGGGGCCACAGTGGTCTGTGGGTGCCCAAGCATTTTAAAGTACTACAAATCCCATATGTCCCTGAAAGCGTACGAGGACATACAGTGGATCATGGGGATTATGTGTGCCAAATTTGGTCCAGGTCCGTCGCTCGTGCAGGTCACAGCGGCCTGTGAAAGTGGCAGAAAGCTGCCACATACACACATACAAACATTCACTTTTATTATATAGATAGATGGCTCTGAAGCTAAAAAAGGGACAAATCCTAGAGTGAGTAGAAGCCCTTCTAACGGCTGAATTTCTCCGACAGTAATGATGAACTGGACGAAGGACGGCAGGCTAGTGAAGGCGAATTTGATGCTTTGGATCCCAAGAAGGAGGTACGTGGGAAGTGGCTGGTCAGGAAGCTTATTTATTTCGTATCAAAAGCATTGCATAAATTAGTATAAAATTAATAAAACTAGAAAGAGCGCAGGCGGCTAAATATCCTTTGACCAAAAACGGGCAACAGCAATGGCATTGTCTGTAGCCTCTAACAACTCTTCCTCTGTACATGAGTTTATCAACAGGTGTAGGTTTAAGACATCCTGTGATTATTCTGCATGTTTCATTCAATGAGAGTTTATCAACAGGTGTAGGTTTAAGACATCCTGTGATTATTCTGCATGTTTCATTCAATGAGAGTTTATCACAGGTGTAGGTTTAAGACATCCTGTGATTATTCTGCATGTTTCATTCAATGAGAGTTTATCAAGAGGTGTAGGGTTTAAGACATCCTGTGATTATTCTGCATGTTTCATTCAATGAGAGTTTATCAACAGGTGTAGGTTTAAGACATCCTGTGATTATTCTGCATGTTTCATTCAATGAGAGTTTATCAACAGGTGTAGGTTTAAGACATCCTGTGATTATTCTGCATGTTTCATTCAATGAGAGTTTATCAACAGGTGTAGGTTTAAGACATCCTGTGATTATTCTGCGTGTTTCATTCAATGAGAGTTTATCAACAGGTGTAGGTTTAAGACATCCTGTGATTATTCTGCATGTTTCATTCAATGAGAGTTTATCAACAGGTGTAGGTTTAAGACATCCTGTGATTATTCTGCATGTTTCATTCAATGAGGGTTTATCAACAGGTGTAGGTTTAAGACATCCTGTGATTATTCTGCATGTTTCATTCAATGAGGGTTTATCAACAGGTGTAGGTTTAAGACATCCTGTGATTATTCTGCATGTTTCCTTCAATGAGAGTTTATCAACAGGTGTAGGTTTAAGACATCCTGTGATTATTCTGCATGTTTCATTCAATGAGAGTTTATCAACAGGTGTAGGTTTAAGACATCCTGTGATTATTCTGCATGTTTCATTCAATGAGAGTTTATCAACAGGTGTAGGTTTAAGACATCCTGTGATTATTCTGCATGTTTCATTCAATGAGAGTTTATCAACAGGTGTAGGTTTAAGACATCCTGTGTTATTCTGCATGTTTCATTCAATGAGAGTTTATCAAGAGGTGTAGGTTTAAGACATCCTGTGATTATTCTGCATGTTTCATTCAATGAGAGTTTATCAAGAGGTGTAGGTTTAAGACATCCTGTGATTATTCTGCATGTTTCATTCAATGAGAGTTTATCAACAGGTGTAGGTTTAAGACATCCTGTGATTATTCTGCATGTTTCATTCAATGAGAGTTTATCAAGAGGTGTAGGTTTAAGACATCCTGTGATTATTCTGCATGTTTCATTCAATGAGAGGTGTAGGTTTAAGACATCCTGTGATTATTCTGCATGTTTCGTTCAATGAGAATTTATCAGGAGGTGTAGGTTTAAGACTTCTTGTGATTATTCTGCATGTTTCGTTCAATGAGAGTTTATCAACAGGTGTAGGTTTAAGACATCCTGTGATTATTCTGTATGTTTCATTCAATGAGAGTTTATCAACAGGTGTAGGTTTAAGACATCCTGTGATTATTCTGTATGTTTCATTCAATGAGAGTTTATCACCAGGTGTAGGTTTAAGACATCCTGTGATTATTCTGCACGTTTCATTCAATGAGAGTTTATCAACAGGTGTAGGTTTAAGACATCCTGTGATTATTCTGCATGTTTCATTCAATGAGAGTTTATCAACAGGTGTAGGTTTAAGACATCCTGTGATTATTCTGCATGTTTCATTCAATGAGAGTTTATCAACAGGTGTAGGTTTAAGACATCCTGTGATTATTCTGCATGTTTCATTCAATGAGAGTTTATCAACAGGTGTAGGTTTAAGACATCCTGTGATTATTCTGCATGTTCCATTCAATGCTATGCTCATCTGCTTTGCATGGGCAGACGAATGGAGCTAAGGGACTCCAACAGCAACAACAACAACAACAACAACCACAGCAGCAGCAGGAACACTTTATTTATATTCTGCCCTATCTCCCCAATGGGACTCTGGGCGGAACTCAAACCACATACACGGCAAACATTCAATGCTGTTTGGACAGACAGGACAGAGACAGACAGAAAGGAGTTTTGCTATGTTGACATCCAACTTTCACTGCCTTGGAGGTTGTGCTCCAATCCACCCACAAGGGGGTGCTGTCACTCTATCCTCTATGACGAGGAGCCATCAGGACTTCCTCCTTCCTTTTTAGTTGCCGGCATTTTCTGGTTATTAAACCAACAGGTGTAGGTTTAAGTCATCCTGTGATTATTCTGCATGTTTCATTCAATGCTGTTGTCGTAAAATACCTCCCCCACTTTTTATTGTTTTTAAATTTTGTTAGTATCTAATCTCTGGTCAGTGATTCCCAATTAAAATATTTCTGATTTAAGTGGTATATTTACTTTTAATATTTTTTGTAGAATTTGTTGTAAATTAGTTAAATTACCCTCCCCTCACACAGGTGGTACCTAATTTTCCTACTTGACAGATGCAACTGTCTTTTGGGTTGCAAAGGTCGACAACAAGCTACACAAATTGGTCGGAAGCTCACTCCGACCCGGGCTGGCTTTGAACTCATGACCTTGTGGTCAGAAGTGATCTTAATGCAGCTGACACTCAGCCAGCTGCGCCACAGTCCCAGTGGTTCCTATTCCTCTAATCCAATATTTTTTGCCCAATTAATCATACATTCTTTAATTCCTTCTTCTTCTGTGCTCAATTCCAATAATATTTTGTATATTTTAGTTATCGTTTTCTTTTCCTCCCCCACTTTTTAGCGGTACCTAATTTCTCTACTTACAGCTCTAAGCTGTCTTTGAATTGCTTAGGTCAACAGTGAGCTGGGTTGACATTCAGGCACTCACCCCGACCCAGGCTTCGAACTGGCAACCTTTACCAGTGATTTTCCAGTTGTGCTATAGCCTTTAGTCCCAATATCTCAATTGACTAGAACCAAAGGAAGGCCAGCTATGAAAATAAGCGGTCACAGAAGGGGATGGAATCAGTCTGGTTCCATCATGTTGGAAAAGCCTGAAAATTGGTTTCCGATTTCAATTTCATCTCTCTCCATGTACCAACCCGAGCCCTTTGATCTTCGGGGGAGGTCCTCCTTTCACCCCCACCAATCTCACAAGCCTGTCTTGTGGGAACAAGGGAGAGAGCCTTCTCCTCTGTGGCTCCCCGACTTTGGAACTCTTTACCTGGAGAGATCAGGAAAGCCCCTTCACTAGAAACGTTAAAAAAGGACCTTAAAACCTGGCTCTTCCACTGCGCCTTTGGTGATTAGGTGGGCATCATGACATTTTGCACCCCCCAACATTTTTGCTACTGGTGGGACTGACTTCACTGTCAGCTTAGCGAGTAAAGAATTGCCACAACTGAAGCCATGGCAATGTTTTAGGAGCATGCCAGAACATTCCCAGGGGGATGAGGAGGGGGATGTCTGCTGCAATGTGTTTACTTCTTCTTTATCTGCAGCCTACTTACCAGAAGCCGCTCAACAGCAAACCGGGGCCAGTGAAGAAGGAAGTGCAACTGTCACAGTATCGGCACCACCCGCTCCGCGCCCGCCGGCGGCCTCCCAAGGGCATGTACTTAAGCCAAGAGGACATCACAGGGCTATCTGCCAGCCCAGACATGGCTGCTCTCACCCTGCGACACTTGGACTCTCAGCTGGTTTCCCTTAAGCGCCAGGTAGGGAAACCCAAGTCCAGCCCTTGTTGGTCCCTGACCAGGGGCGGCTCATCCATTATGCGAAGTAAGCAGTCGCAGAACACTTTTTTTGCCAGGGGCGCAGAGGTGACTCTGTGAATGCTGGATGGCCATCTGTCGGGGGTGTTTTGAATGCTATTTTCTTGTTTCTTCGCAGGGGGTTGGACTGGATGGCTCACAAGGTCTCTTCCAACTCCAGGATTCTTTGTAGTGAATTGATCTTTTCACTCTTGAAGCCTTCTGCCTTCTTACACTTTGTATGTGCTGTGTGTTTTGAGAGCTCTCTCTGTTTGTGTGTCAGTTACACTTTCATATGGAGCGTATGTGCTGTGTGCTTTGAGATCTCTCTCTGCTTGTGTGTCAGGAGACCTGTAGTGATGAGTTTTCCCCTCTTTGAAACCTTAGAAGAGATGTGTGTTACGAGCAGCTCCGACCCAGTTCTTTCTTGAAATGCAGTTATTTCTTATTATTGTAAATAAATATTTTGTGATTTTTTTTTAAAAAAAAGATGGGACTCTGCTCCTAAGCTTTGAATTCTTTACAGCCACATCACATGGCACTTCATGCTCTGCTCAACTTTGGTATCCTGTTTGTTTTTGGATGCTCTGCTATATTTAGGGTAGTTTTCCCTAACAAAAAAAGGGTTATGGGCCCAGCACTCAATTCACAATTAAGGCTCCCACCCATCTGTCGATTTCTGTCCATGCTTCATACTCATCATCACCAGCTTGGGATGGATGTTGTTGATAGACCTTGGTTGATAGACCAGCTTGGGGTGGATCTTGTTGATAGATCTTGGTGGATAGACCAGCTTGGGGTGTATCTCGTTGATAGACCTTGGTTGATAGACCGGCTTGGGGCAGATCTCGTTGATAGACCTCTTTGATGGCCAATTTGGAGGAAATCTCGTTGATAGACTTTGGTGGTTGGACCAGCTTTGGGTGCATCTCATTGATAGACCTTGGTTGATAGACCAGCTTAGAGGGGATCTTGTTGATAGACTTTGGTTGATAGACCAGCTTGGGGTGGATTTCGTTGATAGGCTTATTTGATAGACCAGCTTGGGGTGGATCTCATTGATAGACCTTGGTTGATAGACCAGCTTGGGGTGGATCTCGTTGATAGACCTTGGTTGATAGACCAGCTTGGGGTGGATCTCATTGACAGACGTTGGAGTAGATCTCATTGATAGACCTTGGTTGATAGACCAGCTTGGGGTGGATCTTGTTGATAGATCTTGGTTGATAGACCAGCTTGGGGTGAATCTTGTTGATAGACCAGCTTGGGGTGGACCTCATTGATAGACCTTGGTTGATAGACCAGCTTGGGGTGGATCTTGTTGATAGACCTTGGTTGATAGACCAGCTTGGGGTGGATCTCGTTGATAGACCTTGGTGGATAGACCAGCTTGGGATGGGTCTCGTTGATAGACCTTGGTTGATAGACCATCTTGGGGTGGATCTCGTTGATAAACCTTGGTTGATAGACCAGCTTGGGGTGGATATCATTGATAGACCTTGGAGTAGATCTTGTTGATAGACCTTGGTTGATAGACCAGCTTGGGGTGTCCCTCACTGGGCTTGGCTTCCAAACTTTTGACCATTTCAGTCCCCCTTCTTTGGACACCTTCCAGCTGGTCACTATCCTTGTTGACTTGTATGCCCAGAACTGGACACAGTATTCCAGGTGATGCCTGACCAAAATGGCCTCCTTTTGATATTTCTACCTCTGGCTAATCCTAGGTACAAAGCATCAAGCAGATCAACAGTAGCATGAAGCAAGTGCTGGATGGTGGAATAGACAAATTGCGGCCACCTGAGGTGAGTGTGTATGGAAGTGACCAGGCGCTGCACACCCAGCAACAACAATTTTTAATGCTTTTGAGAGAGAGTGGTAGGGAGGGCTGTGCATAGTTCTGTCTCTTGTTATGGTCAGTCTTCCAGATTTCTCTGTATTTCGAATACACTCCCTTTTGTCTTGCAGACAAACATAAAGTTTAACTCACGCTGGACAACAGATGAGCAGTTACTGGCTGTGCAAGGTGAGTCTTTAAAGAGATGGATGGGTGGGCTCCTGAAATAGACCTTAGTTGATAGACTAAGTTGATAGGAAGTTCTCAACCTTCCTATAATGCCTTAATACAGTTCCTCAGTTGTGGTGACCCCCAACCATAACATTATTTTCGTTGCTACTTCCTAACTGTCATTTTGCTACTGTTATGAATCGTCATGTAAATATCCGATATGCAGGATATATTTTCATTCACTGGACCACATTTGGCACAAAGACCCTATATACCCAAATTTGAACATTGGTGGGGTTGGGAAGGGTGATTTTGTCATCTGGGAGTTGTAGTTGCTGGGATGTATAGTTCACCTACAATCAAAGTGCATTCTGAACTCCACCAACGAGGGAATTGAACCAAACTTGGCACACAGAACTCCCATGACCAGCAGAAAGTACTGGAAGGGTTTGGTGGTCATTGACCTTGAGTTGAGGAGTTATAGTTCACCTACATCTAGAGAGCACTGTGGACTCAACCGATGATGGATCTGGACCAAACTTGGCACAACTACTCATCATTCCCAAATGTAAACACTGGTGGATTTTGGGGAAAATAGACCTTGACATTTGGATGTTGTAGTTGCTGGGATTTATAGTTCACCTACAATCACAGAGCCTTTTGAACTTCCTCTTCCTTTTATCCCTTCCTCCTCCTCTTTTCCTCCTCCTCCTCCTTCTTTCTCCTCTTCCTGTTTCTTTCTTCCCTTCCTCCTCCTCCTTTTCCTTCTTCACCTTCCTCCTTTTCTTATTCTTCTGCTTCCCCTTCCTCCTGGTTTTCCTCCTTCTCTTTCCTCCTCATTTTATCATCTTCCCCTTCCTCCTCTTCTTTTCCTCCTCCTTCTTTTTCTTTCCCCTCTTCCTCTGTTTCTTCTTTCCCTTCCTCCTCCTTATCTTCACCTTCCTCCTCCTCCTCTTTTTCTTCACCTCCCACCTTTTCTTATTCTTCTGCTTCCCCTTCCTCCTCGTTTTCCTTCTCCTTCTTTCTCCTCTTCCTCTGTTTCTTCTTTCCCTTCCTCCTCCTCCTTTTCCTTCTTCACCTTCCTCCGCCTCCTTTTTTCTTCTCCTCCTCCCTCCTCTTCTTATTCTTCTGCTTCCCCTTCCTCCTCGTTTTCCTTCTCCTTCTTTCTCCTCTTCCTCTGTTTCTTCTTTCCCTTCCTCCTCCTCCTTTTCCTTCTTCACCTTCCTCCGCCTCCTCTTTTTTCTTCTTCTCCTCCCTCCTCTTCTTATTCTTCTGCTTCCCCTTCCTCCTTGTTTTCCTCCTCCTCCTTCCTCCTCACTTTGTCATCTTCCCCTTCCTCCTCCTTCTTTTCTCCTCTCCTCCTCCTCTTCTTCCCTTTCCTTCCCTCTTTTTTTCCTCCTCTTTTCTCTTCCAGGAAGGGTTTGGTTGGGCATTGACCTTGAGTTTGGAGTTGTAGTTCACCAACAGCCAGAGCACTGTGGACTCAAACAATGATGGATCTGGACCAAACATGGCACGGATATTCAATTTGACCAAATGTGAACTCTGGTGGAGTTTAGGGAAAACAGACCTTGACATTTGGGAGTTGTAGTTACTGGGGTTTATAGTTTACTTACAACCAAAGAGCATTCTGAACTCCACCAAGAATGGAATTGAACCAAACTTGGCACACAGGACTCCCATGACCAGCAGCAAACACTGGAAAGATTTGGCCTTGAATTTTGGAGTTGTAGTTCACCTCTATCCAGAGAGCACTGTGGACTCAAACAATGATGGTTCTAGACCAAACTTGGCATGAATACTCAATATGTCTAAATGTGAATACTGGTGGATTTTGAGGAAAACAGACCTTGACCTTTGGGAGTTGTAGTTACTGGGGTTTATAGTTCACTTACAACCAAAGAACATTCTGAACTCCACCAATGATGGAATTGAATCAGACTTGGCACACAGGACTCCCATGACCAACAGCAAACACTGGAAAGATTTGACCTTGAGTTTTGGAGTTGTAGTTCACCTCCATCCAGAGAGCACTGTGGACTCAAACAATGATGGWTCTYGACCAAAACTTGGCACGAATACTCAATATGTCCAAATGTGAACTCTGGTGGAGTTTGGGGAAAACAGACCTTGACATTTGGGAGTTGTAGTTACTGGGGTTTATAGTTCACCTACAATCAAAGAGCATTCTGAACTCCACCAATGATGGAATTGAATCAGACTTGGCACACAGGACTCCCATGAACAACAGCAAACACTGGAAAGATATGGRCTTGAGTTTTGGAGTTGTAGTTCGCCTCCATCCAGAGAACACAGTGGATTCAAAATATGATGGATCTGAACCAAACTTGGCATGCATTCTCAATATGTCCAAATGTGAACACTGGTGGAGTTTGGGGAAAACAGACCTTGACATTTGGGAGTTYTAGTTACTGGGGCTTATAGTTCACCTACAACCAAAGAGCATTCTGAACTCCACCAAGAATGGAATTGAACCAAACTTGGCACACAGGACTCCCATGACCAACAGCAAACACTGGAAAGATTTGGCCTTGAATTTTGGAGTTGTAGTTCACCTCTATCCAGAGAGCACTGTGGATTCAAACAATGATGGTTCTAGACCAAACTTGGCATGAATACTCAATATGCCCAAATGTGAACACTGGTGGAGTTTGGGGAAAACAGACCTTGACATTTGGGAGTTGTAGTTACTGGGGTTTATAGTTCACCTACAACCAAAGAGCATTCTGAACCACAGCAATGCTAGAATTGCGCCAAACTTCCCACACAGAATCCCAATACCTTGAACGGACTCGCTGGTGCGAGCCTCCTTCCAGCCTCCCACACTCTCCTTTGCCCACACATGCGCATAATGCCATGCACCGAACACGCCTGCTCTCCCCTCCCCATTTGGAGTCTCAGAAACAGCCCTCCCCTTTGCTGAGAAGCTGGCCAATGACAGCAAAGGAGGGCTTTTGGTGGGAGGATTTGCCCTCTATTTCCAAAAAAAGGTGGAGAGATCAGGTGAAGAAAAGGAGATTCCATCTCAACTTTAGGAAGAACTTCCTGACTGTGAGAACTGTTCAGCAGTGGAACTCTCTGCCGCGGAGTGTGGTGTAGGCACTTTTTAAACAGAGGCTGGATGGCCATCTGTCAGGGGTGCTTTGAATGCAAGTTGGATGGCACACAAAAAGAATAACTTGTTATTTTCCCGTTCAGCCATCCGTAAATACGGGAAAGACTTCCAGGCCATTGCAGAGGTGATCAGCAATAAAACGGTGGCCCAAGTGAAGACGTTCTTTGTCAGCTACCGGCGCCGTTTCAACCTGGAAGAGGTGCTGCAGGAATGGGAGGCCGAGCAGGAAGGAGGGGGGCTGGCTGCACCCACGCAGGGGAGCTCCCCTCCCCAGGAACACAAGAGCTCCAGCGCATCGCTTGCAAGCAGCGAGGAAGACGACGAGGTGAGTGAGGCCACTTCCATGTGCTTTCCTCTTGCTCCCGAGCTATGAGTGCAGGCGCTCGGCTGCCTGGCAGTCCCTGGCAGGCATGTGCGTGCGGGCACTGCGCTTCTTCTCTTCCTCCTCCTTGGAGAGGCATGTGTGTGTGGTGGGGTGTGTGACTGTCCAGGCATTCGGCACTGAAAGGCACGCACAAGCTTTCCAGGCCTGCCTGCACGCCCCATGTCACACACACTCTCCCTGGAAAGTATGTGTGTGTGTGGTGGGGTGCAGGTAGGCCTGGAATGTGCATGTGCACCTGTCAGTGCCTGCACACCCCAACACCACACACTCTACCTGGAAAAAGTGTGTGTGTTTGTGTGTGTGGCGGGGCGGCGGCAGGCCTGGAAAGAGTGCATGCGTACCTGTCAATGTCTGCATGCCTCACACCACACACACACACTCTCCCTGGAAAAAGAGTGCATGTTTGGCGGGGCGCAGGCAGACCTGGAAAGAGTGCATGCACACCTGACAGTGTCTGCACGCCTCACACCACACACACGCTCTCCCTGGAAAAAGAGTGTATGCGTGGCAGGGTGCCGGCAGACCTGGAAAGCGCACGTGCATGCCTGTAAGTGACTGCACACCCCACAAAAGATTGTGGGGTGGTGCAGGTAGACCTGGAAAGTGCACACACATGCCTGTCAGTGACTGCACACCATATGCTACAGACGCAATTCCCTCTGGAAAAGAGTGTGTGTGGTGAGTTGCAGGCAGACCTGGAAAGAGTGCATGCACACCTGTCAGTGTCTGCACACCTCAGACCACACACACGCTCTCCCTGGAGAAGGAGTGTATGCGTGGCGGGGTGCAGGCAGACCTGGAAAGAGTGCATGCATACCTGTTAGTGTCTGCATGCCTCACACCACACACACGCTCTCCCTGGAAAAAGAGTGTATGGTGGGTTGCAGGCAGGCCTGGAAAGTGCACGCGCATGCCTTTCAGTGACTGCACACCCTATGCTACACACACACTCTCCCCGGAAAAAGAGAGTGTGTGTGGTGGGATGCAGGCAGGCCTGAAAAGAGTGCATGCACACCTGTCAGTGTCTGCACACTTCAGACCACACACACGCTCTCCCTGGAAAAGAAGTGTATGTATGGCGGGATGCAGGCAGATCTGGAAAGAGTGCATGCACACCTGTCAGTGACTGCACACCCCACGCTACACATACACTTCCCTGGAAAAAGTGTGTGCGTGTGGCGGGGCACAGACAGGCCTGGAATGCACACGTGCATGCCTGTCAGTGACTGCACACCCTATTATTATTATTATTATTATTATTAAAGTGGAATTTACAGTATTTCTATACCGCTTTTCTCACCCCTAGGGGGAGTCAAAGCGGTTTACACATGCTACACACTATGCTACACACTCTCCCTGGAAAAAGAGTGTGTGTGGCAGGGTGCAGGCAGGCCTGGAAAGCGCATGTGAATGTCTGTCAGTGACTGCACACCTTATGCTACACACACTCTCTCCCTGGAAAAAATGTGTGTGTGGCGGGGTGCAGACAGGCCTGGAGAGTGCGTGCGTACCTTTCAGTGCTTGCCTGCAGCCGACTGCCTGCATAGTCATACACCCCACCACACACACATGCCCAGAAAGGAGGGAGGGGAGGTGGTTCTTTCCGCCTTGGTGCTGAGGTCCAAATGTGGGGCTGCCCGGACACGACTCCTGTGAGTGAATGCAGGGCATTGTGGGTGCGAGGGAGGGAGGAGGAGAAAGAGAAGAAGCACGAATGCATTGTATTTCGGCCTCACACCAAAGCAGAGTTTCGTGTGGGAAGTGGGCTTCTCGTTATAAACGAAAGACACGAAAGAAACTGTAAGAACAAATTTCACACACACGTCTAGCTCCTGCGGTACTGCCAGTGGCTCCTTCTTGTGTCCTCGCAGGTGCAGATCACCGCGGTGTCCCGTTCCTCGCAGCAGCAGCAGCACCAGCAGCAGCTTCCACCCCCGCCTCTGCCACCCCCGCTGCCGCTCCCAGCCTCGCCCCGCCCCCCCGTGGCCGCTCTCTCCCAGCCGCCTCCGCTCCTGAGGCCCACTCTCCCCACGGCCCCCACGCTGCACCGCCAACCCCCGCCCCTGCAGCAAGGGCGATTCCTCCAGCCCAGACTCTCGCTCAACCAGCCGCCACCTCCACTCATCCGGCCAGCCACCTCACGACCGCCGCCGCCGTCCCGCGGAGGCCAGCAGCACCCCCCTTCGCTCCTCGGCGGGACAGGGGAGCACCCTCCGCCCCCCGCCAGCACCCTCTGAGAAGGGGTTCCCGTCTGCTTCTCGGCCATCTGTGAGTCTCGCTGCTGCGCATCGGTTATCAGCTGCGGTTGTTATGCCCCCTCCTGTGTTGGTGGTGGGGAGGAGGAGGAAGAAGAGAACGGACACTCCCAGGGGTCTGACCCCAGGTTATGTAGCACTGAACCCCAGTCCTTATGTACACTGGGGGGAGGTTTTCTTTTCCTTTTTTCGGGGATGGGGGAGGGATGCTATAGGGCTAGTAGTGTGGGGCGGTGATGAATTATGTTTACACTTCAGCAGGATTGAATTGCATCAGTGCCTGTGTGGAAAAGGGGGGGGGAGGGAGTGGGGGGTAAACAAGGGTGGTGGATGTGTTGTCGAAGGCTTTCAAGGCCGGAATCTCTGGGTTGCTGTCAGTTTTCCGAGCTGTCTGGCCATGTTCCAGAAGCATTCTCTCCTGACAATTCGCTCACATCTTAGAATGATAGAATCAAAGAGTTGGAAGAGACCTCATGGGCCATCCAGTCCAACCCCATTCTGCCAAGAAGCAGGAATATTGCATTTAAATCACCCCTGACAGATGGCCATCCAGCCTCTGGGGCAGAGAGTTCCACTGCTGAACGGCTCCTACAGTCAGGAAGTTCTATGGCAGAAGTTGCCAGGTCTGTTGGAAACTAGACAGACATACTAAGAAAATCCAACAGATATGATCAGCAAAGAACAAGAGGGATCATCCAACTTCTGCAGGAGTCTCCTGCATCCCACAAGTCAACATAGGGACCCCCAAACGCAGCAGCATTGCCCAAACACAATCCAAGGAACATGATAGGCCAGGTATGAGCAAACCCAGGTTCGGGACCAGATGCGGCCCCCTGAGCTCTTTTCTCAGGCCCTCTTCTCTCTCAGCATCCTATCCTTCTCTTTCCTTCCTCTTTCCCTCCCTCTCCTCCTCCCTTGCCTTCCATTCTTCCTTCTTTCTCTTTCCACCCTCCCTCCTTCTTTCTCCTTCCTTCCCTTCCATCTTTCTTTCGTTCCTTCCCTTTTTCCTCCCTCCTTCCTTTTCTCCTTCCTTCCTTCCTCTTTCCTTCTTTCTCCTTCTCCCTTCCTCTCCTTCCCTCCTTCCCTTTCTCCTTCCTCCCTTCTCCTTCCTTCCTTTTCCTCCTCCTTCCTTCTCCTTCCTTCCTTCCGTCCTTCCTTCCTTCCTTCCTTCCTTCCTTCCTTCCTTCCTTCCTTCCTCTTCCTCCTCCTCCCTTCTTCCTGCCTTCCTCTTCTCTCTTTCCACCTCCCTCCTTCCTTCCTTCCCTTCCTTCATTTCCTTCTTTCTCTTTCCCCTCCCTTCCTTCCCCTTTTTCCTTCCTTCTCTTCCTTCTTTTTCCCTTCCTCTTCTTTCCTTCCTCCTCTCCTTCCTTCCCCTTCCATCCTTCCTTCCTTCCCTCTTTCCTTCCTTTTCTTCCTTTCTCTTTCCCCCCCTCCTTCCCTCCTTCTCCCTTCCTTCCTTCCTTCCTTCCTTCCTCCCTTCTTTCTTTCCTCCCTCCTCCCTTCCTTCCCACCCTTCCTTCCATCCACCTTCTCTTCTCCCTCCCTCCCTTCTCTTTTTCTTCTCTTGGGGGATGTTTAGCTGGGAGAAGAGAAAGTTGAGAAGGAACATGAGAACCGTGTTTCAAGATCTGAAAGGGTGTCCCATTGAGGAGGAGGAAGGGGAAATCTGACTTCCTGCTGCTCTAGAGACTAGGGCACAAGGGAACATGAGGAAGAACTTCCTGACTGTGAGAGCTGTTCAGCAGTGGAACTCTCTGCCCCGGAGTGTGGTAGAGGCTCCTTCTTTGGAAGCTTTTAAACAGAGGCTGGATGGCCATCTGTCAGGGGTGATTTGAATGCAATATTCCTGCTTCTTGGCAAGGGGTTGGACTGGATGGCCCATGAGGTCTCTTCCAACTCTATGATTCTATGAGAGTTGGAGCGCGCTCCTTGAATTGAAGGGGGAAACAATGGAGGAAAAAGGGGACGTTGGATAAGAATGTCGGATAAGATGGAAAGTCGGATAAGCGAAGGTTGGATAAGCAAGTCTCTGCTGCATAATCTTGCTTTGTCTAGTTTGCAATACACCTCACAACCTCTGAGGACGCCTGCCCAACAAAGGATTCCCCCAGACAGGAAGCAACCAGACTTTGCAGCTGCAAGGCCATTCAATGCTAATCAAGCTGGCCAACTGTAACATTCACACTCGTCTCCAACAGACAGAGTTCTTTCTCTCACCCTGGACATTATTCCACACGTATATAAGCCTAGTTTCCAACAGACCTCGCAACCTCTGAGGATGCCAGACATAGATGTGTGCGAAACGTCAGGAGAGAATGCTCCTGGAACATAGTTATACAGCTCGAACATTCCATAGACCTATAAACCTCACTTGCCTAGTTTCCAACAGACCTCACAACCTCTGAGGATGCCAGACGTAGATGTGTGCGAAACGTCAGGAGAGAATGCTCCTGGAACATAGTTATACAGCGCGGACATTCCATAGATCTATAAACCTCACTTGCCTAGTTTCCAACAGACCTCACAACCTCTGAGGATGTCCAATATAGATGTGGGCGAAACGTCAGGAGAGAATGCTTCTGTAACAGAGTTATACAGCTCGTACATTCCATAGATCAATAAACCTCACTTGCCTTGTTTCCAACAGACCTCACAACCTGAGGATGCCTGACATAGATGTGGGAGAAACGTCAGGAGAAAATGCTTCTGGAACATATACAGCCCTGACATTCCATAGATCTGTAAACCTCACTTGCCTAGTTTCCAACAGACCTCACAACCACTGAGGGTGTCCAACATAGATGCGGGAGAAATGTCAGGAGAGAATGCTTCTGGAACATGGCCAGACAGTCTGGAAAACTCACAGCGACCCAAGGGTGGTTGAGTTGGGTGGAATTAGAGGGGGGAGGGCAGTAGAGAGAGAAAGGGAGGAACGTGCTCCTGATCCGACTGGGCTGGGAGGAAGTCCGAATAGCAGGGAACCCCCCGTTCAGGAAGAGAAGGAGCCAATAAGGGTTACACAGAGATTTTGACGAGATGGAGTAGTGGGAAATGGGGTGCACAAGGGCAGGGGTCTGGGGGGCAGCACAGGTTGGGGGCCAGCCTCTGCTATTGGGCTCCATGAAGGGAAACAAAGGGCTGTCCTACATCTACGTTTCCTTCAAACAACCCTCTGAATCCGGCAGGGTTGCTTTTTTTAAGGGGTCTGGAAGGCATTTTGGAGGGGTTGGGTGGGTGGGGGGGGGTCTTCATGGAACATTTTCAATAAAGGTATTTTGGTACAAACGGCTGACCTTTCTGACTCTTGCGCATACAGAGAGGTGACGGAGTGAATAAAAGAAGCCAAGATTAAGTCATGTTCCAAAACTTGTCCTGCCTCAGGAGGTTCCCCCTGTGAAAAACAGGCCCGGCGCTCACACTTTAGCATCTTTGGCTTTAATAAGAACAGAAGGAGAGAGGAAGGCAGGCTGCTTGGTGACACCAGAAGGTGAGTTCCTGAAATAAACTGGAGGGAGCGAGGAAGGCTCAAGGGGAAGAGGCAAGGAGTTCTTACTCATAAAGTCATGGAGAAAGCACCTGAGTCTCAGGCTTCACATCCTCTTCCCGTTCCATCAGAGGACAGGAGGCATCACTGCTATGGAGACTAAGGAGAGAGTAAAGCGGGCTGCTTACTGACACCAGGAAAAGGAAAGCCATTTCCTTCTGTCAGGAAGTGACAACTTTCGCCCACTACAAATCCTGACAACCGGAGAAAGGCGAGAAGGAACAACAACCACAATAGTATTCTCTCAGACCCACGTTGGTCTGCCCGCCCCTGTCTAGCCTATGGCAATTCCTCCTGCTTTGAAGGGAAGGATGGGTGAGTTCCTGGAATAGACTGGAGGGAGCGAGGAAGGCTCAAGGGGAAGAGGCAAGGAAGCTCTTACTCATAAAGTCATGGAGAAAGCACCTGAGTCTCAGGCTTCACATCCTCTTCTCGTTTCATCACAGGACAGGAGGCATCACTGCTACGGAGACTAGGGATCTGGATGGCGGTCAGCTTCTGAGCTAAATACAAAGCGTTGGTTGTTTCCTATAAAGCCCTAAACCAGTGGTTCTCAAGCTTCCTAATGCCACGACCCCTTAATACCGTTCTTCATGTTGTGGTGACCCCCAACCATAAAAATATTTTCGTTGCTACTTCAAAACTAATTTTGAAGGAACAGCGCTCACAATAGTATTCTCTCATACCCACATTGGTATGCCCGATGCGCCCAAATTAGAATACTGGTGAGGTTGATTTTGTGATTTGGGAGTTGTAGTTGCTGGGATTTATAGTTCACCTCCAATCAAAGAGAATTCTGAACTCCACCAATGAGGGAATTGAACCAAACTTGGTACACTTCTTTTCCTCCTCCTCCCTCTTCCTTTTTTCTTCTTCCCTTTCCTCCCTCCTCTTTTTCTTCTTCCTCCAAGGGTTTGGTGGGCATTGACCTTGAGTTTTGGAGTTGTAGTTCACCTACGTCCAGAGAACACTGTGGAATCGAACAATGATGGATCTGGACCAAACTTGGCATGAATACTCAATATGCCCAATTGTGAACACTGTTGGAGTATGTGGAAAATAGAGCTTGGCATTAGGGAGTTGTCGCTGCTAGGATTTATAGTTCACCTACAATCAAAGAGCATTTTGAACCCCACCAACAAAAGAATTGGGCCAAACTTCCCACACAGGACCTCCATCACCAACAGAAAATACTGTGTTTCCTAATGGTCTTGGCACAAATACTCAATATGTCCAAATGTGAACACTGGTGGAGTTTGGGGGAAATATACCTTGACATTTGGGAGTTGTAGTTGCTAGGATTTATATTCACAACCAAAAAACATGTCGAACTCCACCAATGATGGAATTGAACAAATCTGGCACACAGAACTCCCATTACCAACAGAAAATACTGGAAGGATTTGGTGGGCACTGACCTTGAGTTTGGGAGTTGTAGTTCACCTACATCCAGAGAGCTCTGTGGACTCAAACAATGATGGATCTGGATCAAAACTTGGCACGAATACTCAATATGCCTAAATGTGAACACTGGTGGAGTTTGGGTTAAATAGAGCTTGGCATTAGGGAGTGGTTGTTGCTGGGATTTATAGTTCACCTACAATCAAAGAGCATTCTGAACTCCACCAACGAGGGATTTGAACCAAACTTGGCACATAGAACTCCCATGACAAACAGAAAATACTGGAAGAGTTTGGTGGGCACTGACCTTGAGTTTGGGAGATGTAGTTCACCTACATCCAGAGAGCACTGTAGGCTCAAACAATGATGGATCTGGACCAAACTTGGCACGAATACTCAATATGCCCAAATGTGAACACTGGTGGAGTTTGGGTAAAATAGAGCTTGGCATTAGGAAGTTGTAGCTGTTGGGATTTATAGTTCACCTACAAACAAACAAAAATTCTGAATCCCACCAACAATAGAATTGGCCCAAACTTCTTTGGAAGGCCTGGATGGCCGTCTGTCAGGGGTGCTTTGAATGCAACTTTCCTGCTTCTTGGCAGAATGAGGTTGGACTGGATGGCCCATGACTTTGAGAACTGTTCAGCAGTGGAACTCTCTGTCCAGGGGTATGGTGGAGGCTCCTTCTTTGGAAGCTTTTAAACAAAGGCTGGATGGCCATCTTTCGGGGGWGGTTTGAATGCAATTTTCTTGAAGGAAATAAGATTAAAACCTCTCTAGTYGAAACATCTTAAGAGTTGTTTTTATGGAAGGTTATAAATGTAACCACTAAAGGAATATACCTCTAGGAGTTAAGAAACATTGAAACCATTAAGCTTCTATACTTCAATAAACTATTACAGTTTCTCTTAAATCCAAGTCCAGAATGGGGTTGGACTGGATGGCTCATGAGGTCTCTTCCAACTCTATCTTTCTTTGATTCTATGACTCTAGGCACTAGAATCCTATTATACTAAAAGAAGACAAGTGGGGTCACCTTTCCTTACTGAAGGGGAGCAGGCAGGCTTTGGCGCTGCCGCAACGACTCCTCTCTTTACACTGTCACCACAAAGACCGCCGCTTTTCGCTCTCTTGGGAGGGCGAGACCTCACCCCAGTTGGCCCCGTGCGGGCAAGGGCAAAACAAAAACAGGAAACCAAGGTCAGGAAATAAGTTTAAAACCTCTCTAATGGAAAGAACAGTCCTCTTAAGAGTTGTTTTATGGAAGGTTATAAATGTAACCACTAAAGGAATATACCTCTAGGAGTTAAGAAACATTGAAACCATTAAGCTTCTATACTTCATTAAGCTTCTATACTTCAATAAACTATTGGCCCCACGGGGGCAAGGGCAAAACAAAAACAGGAAACTAAGGCCAGCCAGGTGCTTTCTGGAAAGTTTTAATCTAGAACCTGTAAAACTACATCAAACGGCAGCATCCCTAGAGGGAAGGAAGGGGAACGAACCAAAAATAAAATAAAAAGGGGGGGAGGGAGAGGGTAGGGACATGATTTTTTTTCTCTTTTAAAAAAGGCATTTTGTGATCAGAAGTAAAACAAAAAAAAATTAAACCACTCACAAAACCGAGGTATCAGTACAGTTATATACAAACCGTGTGTGTCTGTGTGTGTATGTGTATAAAATGGTGGCAGGGTGGAAGGAGCTCAGCAGACACCGACCGGGGAGAAAGGAGGGCAATCACCCAGAAAATGGCTGAAAATACATTCTCGAGTGGCGATATGGCAATGGAAGAAACCCAGCCTTGGGGAGAAGGGGAGGGGAATGAGAGGGGCAGGGAATCGGAAAGGGAATTGCAGCGCCAGGGTCCCATGTTTCTCTTGTGCTTCGGAAGGAGCAGGCCACACCCCTTTTGGAGAGCAGGAAAGAAGAAGGCATCCCCTCTTGGATGGAGGCCAGAAAGCTATAAATCCCTGTACCTTATGTCAGGGCCAACTCCAACGGGGTGCCAGTTATGATCAAAGACCTCTCCAACTTGGACCTAAGCGTCAACACAGCTTGTAGGCGTAGATCTTGTTATAATGGTATCTTCTAGCTATGGACCTTGACAAGCTCGCTCTTCTAGCTATGGCCCTCCAAGCTCTTCTCACTATGGCCCTCCAAGCTCTTCTAGATATGGTCCTCCAAGCTCTTCTAGCTTTGGCCCTCTAAGCTCTTCTAGCTAGGGCCCTCCAAGCTCTTCTAGCTATGGCCCTCCAAGCTCTTGTAGCTGTGGTTCTCCAAGCTCTTCTAGCTATGGCCCTCCAAGCTCTTCTAGATATGGTCCTCCAAGCTCTTCTAGCTATGGCCCTCCAAGCTCTTCTAGCTATGATCCTTGAGAAACCTGCTCCACAATGAGAATGGGGGATGCTTCCTCGTAATTGCCCTACGTCAGGGGAAATCGGGAAATTAACAAAAGGACTAACCCTGAGCATTTCAAATCATCCACTAGAAACTTCAGTTGACTAGATTAAAAAGCAAATAGGGATGGAAATAGTCTTCTGGAATCTGGCTGGCTGGGAAAATAAAAAGGAACTGGAGAAGGAATTGATTGGAACTCAGAAATGTGACATTATTTGTATTGTCGAAGGCTTTCATGGCCGGAATCACTGGGTTGTTGTAGGTTTATGGAAGGTTATAAATGTAACCACTAAAGGAATATACCTCTAGGAGTTAAGAAACATTGAAACCATTAAGCTTCTATACTTCAATAAACTATTACAGTTTCTCTTAAATCCATGTCCAGAATGGGGTTGGACTGGATGGCCCATGAGGTCTCTTCCAACTCTATCTTTCTTTGATTCTATGACTCTAGGCACTAGAATCCTATTATATTAAAAGAAGACACGTGGGGTCACCTTTCCTTACTGAAGGGGAGCAGGCAGGCTATATGGCCATGTTCTAGAGGCATTTTCTCCTGACGTTTCGCCTGCATCTATGGCAAGCATACTCAGAGGTAGTGAGGTCTGTTGGAAGTAGGAAAAAGGGTTTATATATCTGTGGAATGACCAGGGTGGGACAAAGGACTTTTGTCTGCTGGAGCTAGATGTGAATGTTTCAACTGACCACCTTGATTAGCATTTAATGGCTTGGAAGTGCCTGAGGGGAATCTTTTGTTGAGAGTGATTTGATGTGCCTGATTGTTTCCTCTCTGTTGTTTTGATGTTATAATTTTTGAGTTTTTTAATACTGGTAGCCAGATTTTGTTCATTTTCATGGTTTCTTCCTTTCTGACTAAAGGTGACTCCACTTGTAAACAATCAGGGGTCACCAGGGTTTACAAGTGGGGTCACCTTTAGTCAGCCATAGCAGAGCACCTGATGAACCAACCTGGACATAGCATATTATTTGAGAACACAGAAATGCTGGACCACTCTCACAACCACCATGTCAGACTACACAGAGAAGCCATTGAAATCCACAAGCATGTGGACAATTTCAACAGAAAGGAAGAAACCATGAAAATGAACAAAATCTGGCTACCAGTATTTAAAAACTCCAAAATTAGAGAGGAAACAATCACTCTCAACGAAAGATTCCCCCCAGGCACTTCCAAGCCATTGAATGCTAATCAAGGTGGTCAGTCGAAGCATTCACACCTAGCTCCAGCAGACAAAAGTCCTTTGTCCCACCCTGGTGATTCCACAGATATATAAACCCATTTTCCTACTTTGAACAGATCTCACTACCTCTGAGGATGCTTGCCATTGATGCAGGCGAAACGTCAGGAGAAAATGCCTCTAGAACCGTGATGGTGAACCTACGACACGCGTGTCAGCACTGACACACATGGCTATTTTTGATGACATGCGGCCACGGAGAAGTACACCTTATAAAAGCCAATCTAATTCCATCCTTAAATTTGTAAAAGGTTCTACAAATTTAACATCTGCATGTTTGAGCATTGTTCACTCCATAACTCAGCATGGAATATACATTTTTCTTATTTAAACGATAAATATTGCAAAATTACATTTATTTTTTCTCGAAGTTGACACTCCACCCAAGTTATGCTCAGGTTTTTGGCGAATTTTGACACACCAAGCTCAAAAGGTTGCCCATCACTGCTCTAGAACATGGCCGTATAGCCCGGAAAAACCTACAACAACCCAGTGACATTATTTGCTTGCAAGAGACACATGATGACGGCTCCCATTCCTATACGGCTATTTAGTCAACCAGCCATAAATAAATCGAAAAAAGGGCAGAGGAAGTGGTGCTTTGGTGTCCTTTGTCTCATCTGGAGAATCCCAGATGGTGGATTTTGACCAACTTGGAGGAAGGAGTGGGACAGAAGCATGGTGGAAGTCACCCCAAGCTCTGAATGGATACGAGTGGGCGCCACCAAAGCAGCTGAGAAAACAATCCGTGGACTATGATGCTGAGCGACCTGTCAAGCCTGTACCGAGAAGAGCATCTCAAGTGGGGAAAAAACACTTCCCAGAAGCCGTTTCCACTTTAACCCCAACCAACGAGGAAGAGAACTGGGGTAGATGGAGAAATGGCTGCTCCCTCCTTTCTCTGGAAGGCTTTGCAAGGAGAAGAAGGAGAGCCAAGGGGATGGACAGGTTGGGACAGCCTGACTTTAAGGCCCAGCGAGGAAAGGAAAAAGCAAAGGGAAAACACCATGCTTCCTGCTCTGCGTCATCACTGATCTGAGGGGGGGAAACCCAACTGGGGGTGCCGAAACGTCCATTTGGAGAAGCCTGACGTTCCCGGTGATCCCCGGGATGCCAACCCACCACCAAGGAAGAAAAGAGGAAGGGCACGCAAAGGCGATGGGGGGAAGCTCTAGCGAACGGAGGGGGCACATCTTCTCTCTCGTTCCTTTGGGTGTGTTTGGTACAATTGGAAACCCTGTCTCGTGTGCACAAAAGAAGGAGGAAGAGGAAAGTACCATAGTCGCCACGGAGACCAAAAGGGATGCCCCCAACACAGTCACTATAGAGACCAACAGCCCTTGGTACGCCCCCCCACTACTGTTGCCACGGAGACCGGCTGGGTGGCTGCCAACCACTACCTCCATTTACGTGGAGGGAGGGGGAAGGAGAAGGATGGAGAGGGGGACGTTCCTCAACACCTGACCATCGATCCATCCATCGCCACGCCTCCCTCGACCTCTTTAGTCCTGCACCAGGGTATCAAAAAATAAATTGCTTGACTCCTAAACCCCACCCCATGCGCGTGCAGGCCAGCCCCCCCCCCCCCTTCGAGGCCTGTTAAAGCTTCAGTTCGTTGGCGATTTTGGAGGCAATGTTCTTGAAGGCCATGGAAGTGCCCGATATCCGCTTGAAGCGGACGCCGTTGAGCGAAAGGCGGGGGAGCTTGCACACCTCCATCTCCCACTGCACAAAGGCTTCGTGACCCGGCGCGCCATGCATGCACAGGAGCATGTACTTCTCCTGCAGCTCGCACTGGCAGTTGTTAGCGTCCAGCACTTTCCGGATCTCCTTCATCATCTCGTTGGGCTCCATGGAGCTCGTCGTCTTCATGCTCCAGGTGAAGCGCAGTGAGCGGGGCTTGGCCTCCCTGTTCTCGTCCCGATCCTTCTCCCCGCTGCCGCCCACCATGTGAGGCCTGGGGGAAGGAGGGAAGAAGGGAGAGTGAGCAACGGAGAACGGCCCGGCCCACCCCTCCAGTCGGCACCCAGAGCGAGAGAAGGAAGAGGAAGAGGAAGGAGAGGGAGACATGGATGGATGTGATGAAGAGGAGGTGCCAGGGAGCAGCCTGGCCCTGTCGGAGAGACAGACAGACCGAGAGGAGCAGAGTCTTCCCCAGACTGCATCTCACCTGAGGGTCTCCACGCGGTCTTTGCTTTCGGGCTCATGCAGGGTCCTCAAAAAACAGAGTGGGAGAGAAGAAGTCAGGCATCTTCCAGTTAGCGGCTCCTACACCTGCTCTCCTTTTCTCCCAAAGGGGCAGGGGTATGTTTACCTTCCATTTCGGGGAGTTGGAAGGGGGCTCGAGAATCCCAACGGAGCTGGCTGCATCCAAGAACGAGCCAGCAGGCCCTGGGCATGCAACACTTCCGCTTGGCATGCAGTTTGCCAACATGGTAGCGGACAGGAGGCCAGGAAGATGGCATGCAACAAAAGTTACGTCCCGCCAGTCCTTCACTACAAGCAGAAGCCATTTCCAAGCATGGGGGGGGGGGGGGGAGAAGAGGGAGGGATTGGAGCATGGGTCCTCAAACTACGGCCCGCGGGCCACTTCCGGCCCACCAAGGGCACTTATCTGGCTCGTGGAGGAGGAGCGTCCCCCCAAACAGTGCCCCTCCCTTGGCTGGCTCACACTATCCATCAGGCCCGATGGGCAGCGTGAGCCAGCCAAGGGCAGCTGCTCCGCGCGGCCTACTCGCGCGTAAAGCACCTCATGAGGTGCTTTATGCGCGAGTAGGCTGCGTGGTGCTGCTCCTCCCTTGGCAGGCTCACAATGCCCATTGGGCCCGATGGGCAGCGTGAGCCAGCCAAGGGAGGCTGCCCCGGCGCTCCATGCAGTCATGGCCATCTGTCAGGGGTGATTTGAATGCAATATTCCTGCTTCTTGGCAGGGGGTTGGACTGGATGGCCCATGAGTTCTCTTCCAACTCTTTGATTCTATGATTCTATGCCGGCCACATGACCTTGGAGGTGTCTACGGAGAACGCCAGCTCTTCGACTTAAAAATGCAGATGAGCACCACACCCCAGAGTCCGACACGACTGGACTTCATGTCAGAGGAAAACCTTTAACTAGGAAAATTGTGGAAGATCCAGGGTGGGAGAAAGAACTCTTGTCTGTTGGAGGTAGGTATGAATGTTTCAATTGGCCACCTTGATTACCATTCATAGCCTGACAGTTTTTAGGGAGAATCCTTTGTTGAGAGGTGATTAGCTGGCCCTGATTGTTTCTTGTCTGGAGTTCCCCTGTGTTTGAGTGTTGTTCTTTATTTACAGTTATAATTTTAGAGTTTTTTTAATACTGGTAGCCAGATTTTGTTCAGACTAGAAATAGGAAGATTTCCCATTCTCTGCTCCTGGAATTACTGCCTAAAGAGGGCTAGAAAGAACCCCCTCTAAGGGCCCTTCCACACAGCAAAATAAGATATGTGCAATGTGCATAGGAATTTTTTTATTGATTTTTTTTAAAACAACTATAGTCCGGCCCTCCAACGGTCTGAGGGACAGTGAACTAGCCCCCGGTTTAAAAAGTTTGAGGACCCCTGGTATATCGGATGAAGGGTCCCAGCCATAAACCAAGAAATTTGGGTTGCTGTGAGTTTTCTGGAAACGTGTCTGGTGAGGACGAGGGATAGGGCCTTCTCGGTGGTGACCCCCCGCTTGTGGAATTCGCTCCTGGCCCAGCTCGAACGTATCTCCCTCTACGTTCCGCCTCGTAGTCTAAGATCCACCGGGGAGACCCTACTCTCGGTCCCATCAGCCTCGCAAACGTGTCTGGTGGGGGATGAGGGATAGGGCCTTCTCGGTGGTGACCCCTGCTTGTGGAATTTGCTCCCCAGCAAGATTAGTTTGGCGTCCTCCCTCCTTTCTTTTAGGAAAAAACTGAAAATGTGGTTTTGGAACCAGGTTTTCGGATAAGTAACAGTACGAGACTCCGTATTATCCGACTTTTTCATTTATCCGACGTTCAATCGGCTCATTTATGTCGGATAAGCAAGACACTACTGTAGAATCATAGAGTTGGAAGGGACCTCATGGGCCACCCAGTCCAACCCCCTGCCAAGAAGCAGGAAAATGACAGTTACAGCTGGGAGGACATTCCAAGCATGGACACATTCCCTTCCTTTGTCTTCTCTGCCCCACAACCCCAAATTACAACAGCAAGGAATCCCATTAGAGAGGGGTCCAGGGGACAGTTCCATCTTGTCTCCTGCATATGTCATCAGTTGGGGACCCCTCCCCCCATCACCAACTGCAGCTCTGGGCCGGAGTGAAGAGAGAGGGGCCAGGGGACAGTTCCATCTTGTCTCCTGCATATGTCATCAGTTGGGGACCCCTCCCCCAGCACCAACTGCCGCTCTGGGCCAGAGTGAAGAGAGAGGGGCCAGGGGACAGTTCCATCTTGTCTCCTGCATATGTCATCAGTTGGGGACCCCTCCCCCCATCACCAACTGCAGCTCTGGCCAGAGTGAAGAGAGAGGGGACCAGGGGACAGTTCCATTTTGTCTCCTGCATATGTCATCAGTTGGGGACCCCTCCCCCCATCACCAACTGCAGCTCTGGGCCGGAGTGAAGAGAGAGGGGGCCAGGGGACAGTTCCATCTTGTCTCCTGCATATGTTATCTGTTGGGGACCCCTCCCCTCAGCACCAACTGCTGCTCTGGGCCAGAGTGAAGAGAGAGGGGCCAGGGGACAGTTCCATCTTGTCTCCTGCATATGTCATCAGTTGGGGACCCCTCCCCCAGCACCAACTGCCGCTCTGGGCCAGAGTGAAGAGAGAAGGACCAGGGGACAGTTCCATCGTGTCTCCTGCATGTCATCAGTTGGGGACCCCTCCCCCCAGCACCAACCGCCGCTCTGGGCCAGAGTGAAGGGGGAGGGGGGCAGGGGACAGTTCCATCTTGTCTCCCCCATATGTCATCAGTTGGAGACCTCTCCCCCAGCACCAACTGCCACTCTGGCGCAGAGTGAAGAGAGAGGGGGCCAGGGAACAGTTCTATCTTGTCTCCTTCATATGTCATCAGTGGGGGATCCCTCCCCCCAGCACCAACTGCCACTTTGGAGTTGTTCTCAGGTTCAAAAGTGGTTGGGGACAGTTCCATATTGTCTCCTGCAAAGTGGAGACACCTTCCCCCATCACCAACTGCCGCTCTGGGCCAGAGTGAAGAGGGGACCAGGGGACAGTTCCATATAGTCTCCTGCATATGTCATCAATTGGGGACACCTCCCCCCATCACCAACCGCCGCTCTGGGCCAAAGTGAAGAGAGAGGGGGCCAGGGGGCAGTTCCATCCTGTCTCCTGCATATGTCACCAGTTGGGGATCCCCCCCAAGCACCAACTGCTGCTCTGGGCCAGAGTGAAGAGAGAGGGGGCCAGAAGACAGTTCCAGAAGACAGAACTGGCCCCTGGCCCCGTCTCTAATGGGATTCCTTGCCTCCTGTGCTATGCCAATAATATAATATATAACATAACATAATATAATATATTTGTATATACATATAATATTTATAATGTAATGTAATGCAATATAATACTAATAATAATATATTATAATTATATATTTTATCTTATATGTAATATTCCTAATAATATTACAATATAATGGTATAGTACAATATAGTGATATATAATACTGATATTGTACTATGCTAATAATATAATATATTGTATGTATATATATCTTGTAAGCCACTCTAACTCCCCTTCGGGGTGAGAAGGGCGGCATATAAATGTCGTAAATAAATAAATAAGGCACATACGACTCTTGAGGAAGAGCCTCTCCCATCTACCAGAACCTTTTGCCAATTTGACTGGGAGTGCAAATTCCTTCCAAAATTAGATTCTGAGTCTGATTATTTAAAATAGAGACTTGAATAGATATTGCCGGGATTCTTGAAAGTCTCCAGGTTCAAATAGAAGGGGAGCAAGGTTCGGGAGCACAGAAAATTTTCTGTTGTGCCAAGTTTGGTGGGGTTCAGAATGTTCTTTGATTGTAGGTGAACTATAAATATAAATCCCAGCAAACTACAACTCCCAAATGACAAAATCAATTTTTTGAGTGAAGGACATACATTGGGTTGTTAGGTGTCTTGTCTCCAAATTTGGTGTCAATTCATGCAGTGGTTTTTGAGTTCTGTTAATCCCACAAACGAAAATTACATTTTTATTTATATAGATTATTTTCTATTATTATTATTATTATTACTATTATTATTACAATTATTATTATTATTATTATTATTATTATTATTATTATTATTATTTCCTATATCTATACCCAATATGCCCAAATTTGAATACTGGTGGGGTAGGAGGGGGATTGATTTTGTCATTTGGAAGTTGTCATTGTGGGATTTATAGTTCCCCCACAATCAAAGAGCATTCTGAACTCCATCAATGATGGAATTGAACCAAACGTGGCACTCAGAACTCCCATGAACAACAGAAATTACTGGAAAGGTTTGGTGGGCACAGACCTTGAGTTTGGGAGTTGTAGTTCACCTACATCCAGAGAGTACTATGGACTCAAACAATGACGGATCTGGACCAAACTTGGAAGGAATACTCAATATGCCCAAATATGCACACCGGTGGGGTTTGGGGAAAAGAGATTGTGACATTGGGGAGTTGTAGTTGCTGGGATTTATAGTTCAACGACAATCAAAGAGCATTCAGAATTCCACCAACAATGGAACTGAACCAACCTTGGCATATTACTTACATGGCCAACATTGAATACTGGTGGAGTTGGGGGTGCTGTTTTTGATTTCTGGGAATTGTATTTCAGGTGGAGAGATCTTCACACTTCTCTGGCAAAGGGGTTCCTAAGACCATCAGGAATATGTGTTTTCTGATGGTCTTCGGCGACCCCTCTGAAACCCCTCAGGGGTCGCAATCCCTGGGTGGAGGAACTCTGCTCTAGATGCTGGGCAGCAGAAACAAAACTGAGCCAACTGTGGCCTGACCTGGTCTCAGACCATGTCCTGAAATATATGAGACGCATTTGGCCTTCTGGCCACTTTGATGTGGGAAGTTCCATCAGAACGTAAGTCTTCAAAGTGCAAAAGCCAACCACCCATTTTCCATGGCCAGGAGGACAACCCCCACCTCCTTGACCATTTACAAAGAGACAGAGACCAGAAGACAACAAGAACCAGAGTATCTTCAAGACTGTGCTCCAAACGTCATCCCAGAAGCTAGTGTTTCCATTTGGGGCCATGCAGATTATAGACCAGGAATGGGCAAACCCAGGCCCGGTGGCCGAATGTGGCCCCTTGGGCTCTTTTCTCAGACCCTCCTGTCTCTCACCATTCTACCCTTCCTTTCTTCTTTCTTTCTTTCCTTCCTTCTACCCTCCCTCTTTCTCCTTCCCTTCCACCCTTCGTTCCCTATCTTTTGTCCCTCCTTCTTTTTCCCGTCCTTTCCATCCTTTCTTCATTCTCTCCCTCTTTCTCCTTCCTCCCTTTTCTCTTTCCTTCCTTCTCTCCTCTCTTGCTTCTTCCCTTCCACCCTTTCATTCTTCCTTTCTTCTCTTTCCTTCCTCCTTCCTCCCGTCCCTCTCTCCTTCCCTTCCATCCTTTCATCCTCCCTTCTCTCCCTCACTCCTTCCTTCCACCCTTCCTTCTCTCCCTTTCTCCTTCCTCCCCTCTCTTTTGTCTTTCCTTCCTTCTCTCTTTCCTCTTCTCTCCTTCTTTCTCCCCCCTCCATTCCCTTCCATCCTTTCATCCTTCCTTCTTCTCTTCCTTCCTTCCCTTTCTCCTTCCCTTCCACCCTTTCATCCTTCCTTCAAAGCATCCTTCCTCCTTCCCTCCCTCCCTATAGTCCGTCCCTCCATTCCCTTCCACCCTTTCATTCTTCCTTCCTTCTCTTGTAACTTCTTCCTTACCTTCCAACCTTTTGTCCTTCCCCCCCTTTTGTCTTTCCTTCCTTCTCTCTTTCCTTCCTCCTTACCTCCCTCCCTTCCCTCTCTTTTTCTCCTACCACCCTTTTGTCCTTCCTTTCTTACCTCTTTCTCCTCCCTTCCTTCCCTCTTTCCTTTTCCCTTCCTTCCCTCAGCCCTTCTCTTCCTACCTTCCTTCCCTTTTGTCCTTCCTTCTCTCTTTCCTTCCTCTTTACCTCCCTCCCTTCCCTCTTTTTCTCCTTCCACCCTTTTGTCCTTCCTTTCTTCCCTCTTTCTCCTCCCTCCCTTCCCTCTTTAGCCTTCCCTTCCTTAGCCCTTCTTTCTACCTTCCTTCCATTTTGTGTTTCCTTTCTTCTCTCTTTCCTTCCTCCTTCCCTCGCTCCCTTCCCTCTTTTTCTCCTTCCGCCCTTTCGTCCTTACTTTCTTCTCTCTTTCTCCTCCCTCCCATCTTTCCTTTATTCTTCCCTTCCCTTTTGTCTTTCTTCTCTCTTTCCTTCCTTACCTCCCTCCCTTACCTCTCTTTCTCCTTCCACCCTTTTGTCCTTCCTTTCTTCCCTCTCCTTCCTTCATCCTTCCTTTCCTTCTCGTCCTCCCTCCCGGCCCTTTTTTCTTTCCTTCCTTCCCTCTTATCTCCCTCTGTCCCCTTCCTTCCCTCTTTCTCCCTCCTTCCCTTTGTCTTTCCTTCCTTCTTACCTCCTTCCCCTCCCTTCCCCTCCTTTTGTCTTCCTTCCTTCCCTCTTCTTCCTTCCTTCTCCCTCCTTCTCTTTTTTCTTTCCTCCTTCCCTCTTTTCTCCCTTCTCCTCCTTCCCTCTTTCCTTTATCCTTCCCTTCCTTCCTTCAGTCCTTCTCTTCCTTCCTCCCTCCCCTTTCTTCCTTCTTCTCTCCCTTCCTTCCCTCTTCCCTTCCCCCCTTTTGTCTTTCTTCCTTCCTCCTTCCTTTTCTCCCTCCTCTTCTTCCTCCCTCCCCTTCCTTTCTTTCTTTTTCTTTCCTTCCTTCTCTCTCCCTCCTTCCCTTTCTTTCTTCCTTCCTTCTTTTCCTTTTCTTCCCTCCTTCCTTCTCTTCTCTCCTCCCTCCCTTCCCCTTTGTCTTTCCTTCCTTCTCTCTCTCTCCCTCCCCTCCTTTTTCTTCTCTCCTTCCTTCCCTCCCCTTCTCTTCCTTCCTTCCTTCCCTCCCTCCCTTCTCTTTTTCCTTCGCTCCCTTCCTTCCATCACCGGGCAGCCAGTCCTCCTAGGAGGGAGTGCCAGCATGCGTTTGCCTCCAAGTCAGAAAGTTTGCCCATGCCTGTGATGGAGGCTGCCCTCCATGCCCACCCCGGACCCTCAAGGCAGCTGCAAGCAGTCGAGCCCAGGGAGAGCCCAGCTCCTCCGATCCGCCACCATGCAGGGAGACAGATGAAAGAGAGGCCAAAGAGGGGGAAAGATCAGAGGCCCAGTCTGGGGGACCACGGAAGACAGGAATCACCTAAAGAGACAGCATTGCCGCATGGAGGAGACCTAGCACCCCACCAAAATCCCATGCCAGCCAATTTGCAGGCAGTCGAGACAGGCCCGAGCACAGTGAAATCTCATTCCCCGTCGGAGCGCTAACAAGATCCCCGCTGTCCCTTTAAGTGCGCCCTTATGCGCACACACAGACACCATTAGCAGCCACAAGGCACAGGAGGGGGGAGAGCAGAGAAGCAAGGAGGAGGAGGAGGGAGGAAGGGAGGAAGGAGTCAGCCAGGAGGGGGTTAGTACAGCACAGGAGGAGGAAGAGGAGGAAGTGGAGGAGGAGGACAGAACAAAACCAGAGTGATGAACGCCTACCTTCTGGCAAACCTGAAAGACAGATTTCTAAAAGGGGGGAAAAAGGGGAAAAATGGTGGGTGGGTGGGTGAACAAGCGCGGATGTGTGAAAATGACAGAGTGACAAGAGTGCTCGGGTGCCCCCACCTCCCTCGCAAAGAGACCCCCTGGTCCTGGCTCCCCCCTCGCCTACAACCCCCATTCGGATGCATCTGGGAGAGGAAAGCCAGGACCTTGTAATCTCACTCATGGTCTGGGTTGTTGTGAGTTTTCTGGGCTGCATGGCCATTTTCCAGAAGCATTCTCTCCTGACGTTTCTCCCACTTCTATGGAAGGCATCCTCAGAGGTTGAGAGGTCTGTTGGAAACTAGGCAAGTGGGGTTGATATATCAGTGGAATAATGAAAGAACTCCTGTCTGTTGGGGGCACATGTGAATGTTGCAATAAATCACCTTGATTAGCATTTAATGGCCTTTCAACATCAAAGCCTGACTGTTACCTGCCTGGGGGAATCCTTTGTTGGGAGGTGTTAGCTGCTTCCTGTCTGGGGGGATCCTTGCTGGGAGGTGTTAATCACCTTGATTAGCATTTAATGGCCTTCCAGCATCAAAGTCTGTTTCCTGCCTGGGGGAATCCTTTGTTGGGAGGTGTTAGCTGCTTCCTATCTGGGGGGATCCTTGCTGGGAGGTGTTAATCACCTTGATTAGCATTTAATGGCCTTCCAGCATCAAAGCCTGACTGTTTCCTGCCTGGGGGAATCCTTTGTTGGGAGGTGTTAGCTGCTTCCTATCTGGAGGGATCCTTGCTGGGAGGTGTTAACTTCCATCCTTTCGTCCTTCTTTCCCTTTCTCCCTCCCTCCATTCCTTTCCACCCTGGGGGAACCTTTTGCTGGGAAGTGTTAACTGCTTTCTACCTGGGGGAATCCTTTGTTGGGAGATGTTAGCTGCTTCCTATCTGGGGGAATCCTTTGCTGGGATGTGTTAACTGCTTCCACCCTTTCTCCCTCTTTCTCCCTCCCTCCATTCCCTTCGACTCTGGGGAAATCCTTTGTTGGGAGGTGTTAGCTGCTTCCTGTCTGGGGGAATCCTTTGCTGGGGGGGGTGTTAACTGCTTCCACCCTTTCGTCCTTCTTTCCCGTTCTCCCTTTTTCTCCCTCCCACCATTTCCTTCCACTCTGGGGAAATCTTTTGCTGGGAAGTGTTAACTGCTTCCTGCCTGGGGGAATCCTTTGCTTGGAGATGTTCGCTGCTTCCTGCCTGGGGGAATCCTTTGCTGGGGGATGTTAACCGCTTTCTGTCTGTGGGAATCCTTTGCTTGGAGATGTTAGCTGCTTCCTGCCTGGGGGAATCCTTTGCTGGGAGGTGTTCGCTGCTTCCTGCCCGGGGGAATCCTTGGCTGGGGGATGTTAACRGCTTTCTGTCTGTGGGAATCCTTTGCTGGGAGATGTTAGCTACTTTCTGCCCAGGAAATCCTTTGCTGGGAGGTGTTAGCTGCTTCCTGCCCGGGGGAATCCTTTGCTGGGGGATGTTAACCGCTTCCTGTCTGTGGGAATCCTTTGCTGGGAGGTGTTAGCTGCTTTCTGCCCAGGAAATCCTTTGCTGGGAGGTGTTAGCTGCTTCCTGCCGGGGGAATCCTTTGCTGGGGGATGTTAACCGCTTCCTGTCTGTGGGAATCCTTTGCTGGGAGGTGTTAGCTGCTTCCTGCCCGGGGGAATCCTTTACTGGGGGATGTTAACCGCTTCCTGTCTGTGGGAATCCTTTGCTGGGAGGTGTTAGCTGCTTGATTTTGTCATTTGGGAGTTGTAGTTGCTGCGATTTATAGTTCACCTACAATCAAAGAGCATTCTGAACCCCACCAACGATGGAATTGAACTAAACTTGGCACACAGTTCTCCCATGGCCAACAGAAAATACTGGAAGGGTTTGGTGGGCAGTGTCCTTTGGTTTTGGAGTTATAGTTCACCTACATGCAGAGAGCACTGTGGACTCAAACAATGATGGATCTGGACCAAACTACAAGACTACTCAGTATGTCCAAATGTGAACACTGGTGGAGTTTGGGGAAAATAGAATCTTGACATTTGGGAGTTGTAGTTGCTGAGATTTATAGTTCATCTACAATCACAGAGCATTCTGAACCCCACCAATGATAGAATTGGGCCAAACCTCTCACACAGAACCCCCATGTGGGCCACAGCAACGTGCGGCAGGGGATGGCTAGTGAATAAATAAATAAATAATCAAGGTGGCCAATTGCAACATTCACACTTGCCTCCAGCAGACAAGAGTTCTTTCTCCCATGCTGGACCTTCCACAGATATATAAACCCCACTTGCCCAGTTTCCATCAGACCTCACAACCTCTGAGGATGCCTGCCATAGATGTGGGAGAAATGTCAGGAGAGTATGCTTCTGAAACATGGCTATTCAGCCCAGAAAACTCACCGCAACCCAGTGATTCCGGCCATGAAAACCTTCGACAACTCATCACGATGGTCTCTCTGTTCTCACAAAGGTGTGATCAGCGGGAGTGGAGGGGTAGGCAGGCAGGCAAAACATTTACAGCAAAAGAAAGAAGGGGACGGGGCAGGAGGTGCTGGGCTGCACAGAACGGCTCCCCTCCCATAATCCTCGCACACTCTTCAATGGAAGGACCTGCCAACCCCACAGGCAAAAAACACAGGGAAGACATCTCCAACCTGTGTCAAGAGTACAACTCAAAAGTCTGGGGAGAGTTGTCACCCAACACATGCCCAAGGTCCTGGGGGTGGAGACCGATGACACACATGAATGCATACACAGAAAAAGCTGCCTTGAGGTAGACGCAGTTCCATCCCTGTATCAACATCTTCCTGGCTAGATCCTCAGAATAAGTATTTGCATCTAGCTCTTTTTTTCCACCAAAATAAGGAGAAGCCATGGCAGTTGTGGTGCACCAAAGAGAGTGCTGGGCCCATAACCCTCTTGGAAAAGGCTGGTCTGCTCAATGCTGGAAGCATTGAGCAGACCAGCCTTTTCCAAGAGGGTTATGGGCCCAGCATCCTGTGTACAACACTCCCCAACATCCTGTCTACAACAGCCTTTTGATTCTCTTCATTCGCAGCTCCGTTCCCATAACTTATGAAGCAGTGGAAACGTGGAGACTGGAGACCACTTGCAGTGGGGATGTGAGAGGAAGACCTGGAGTGCTGCTCCCTGGCTTGGGAATAAGCAAGATCATCTAGGGCAGTGGTTCTCAACCTGGGGTCCCCAGATGTATTTGGCCTGCAACTCCCAGAAATCCTAACAGCTGGTAAACTGGCTAGGATTTCTGGGAGTTGTAGGCCAAAAACATCTGGGGACCCCAGGTTGAGAACCACTGATCTAGGGAATTCCCTTCCCTAGACGATATCTCTTATTTTCTCCCCTTCACTCAGTGAATCTTGACTGCCAGATCTTTGAGGAAAACGATTCCACCCTCATGCCTGACTATAATGTATAATATTATAATGCAATACAATATAATAATACTGATAATACAATATTATAATTACATATTTTATATTACCTGTAATATTACTAATAATATTACAATATATTACTAATATTACAATAATATTGCAATATAATACTACTACTAATAATAATACAATATTATAATTATATATTTTATATTACCTGTAATATTACTAATAATATTACAATATATTACTAATATTAAAATATAATATTACTAATAATAATACAATATTATAATTATATATTTTAGATTACATGTAATATTACGAATAACATTACAATATATTACTAATATTACAATACTGCTACTAATAATAATACAATATTATAATTATATATTTTATATTACGTATAATATTACTAATAATATTACAGTATATTACTAATATTACAATATAATATTACTACTAATAATACAATATTATAATTATATATTTTATATTACATGTAACATTACTAATAATATCACAATATATTACTAACATTACAATACAATATTACGATATAATACTACTAATAATAATACAATATTATAATTATATATTTTATATTACATGTAATATTACTAATAATATTACAATATATTACTAATATTACAATATAATACTACTACTAATAATACAATATTATAATTATATATTTTATAATACATGTAATATTACTAATAATATTACAATATATTACTAATATTACAATACTACTACTAATAATACAATATTATAATTATATACCTTATAATACATGTAATATTACTAATATTACAATATAATATTACTAATAATAATACAATATTATAGTTATATATTTTATAATACATGTAATATTACTAATAATATTACAGTATATTAGTAATATTACAATATAATATTACGATATAATACTAATAATAATACAATATTATAATTATATATTTTATATTACATGTAATATTACTAATAATATTATGATATAGTGGTATGGTGCAATATAGCAATGTTTAATGCTGATATTGTACTATGCTAATAATATAATATATTATATGTATATATATCTTGTAAGCCACTCTGAGTCCCCTTTGGGGTGAGAAGGGCGGCATAGAAATGTCGCAAATAAATAAATAATAAATAAATATCTGGGGCAAATCCCTTTGTGTCTCCTTGGATGGGGTCTTTGCCCCTTGATGCTCCACCGCTTTCAAAAAGATGTTCTCTTTCTCCTGTTCCGCACCTAATTCCCCCGGAATCAAATTGGGAAGAGATCCATTCCAGGAGCCGGGGCTCACCGGATGCTCTTGCACAATATGGCAGGAAGTGAGACGCAGGGTGGTGGGGACAGACAAAAGGACACTGGATTGTGGTGTAAAGGACACTCAGGGGAGGGCAGCTATGCACCACACATATGCAATAGTGAACATGCATGCTGCGTCCCTCTCCACCCCCACCCTTGGGATGTATACCAATGAGCATGAACTGCCGATGTAGAAAAGGCTGGAAGACAGAGCTTGGAAATGGTACTATATTAAACATTAACTATTTTCCATTACAGCTGCAGTTCAATATAAGCAGGTGTGCCTGTAGCTTAGTAGCTCTCAGTCTGTGTGAGGTCTTTGCGGGAGAAGGGCCTCAGTGTGAAGTAGGCCTCAGTGTTAGTTCACCTCAGTAGGAGAAAGTCCTCAGTCTGAGGGATCCCTCAGTGTTAGCAGACCTTAGTCTGTGAGAGGTCTCTGTGGGAGTTAGTATGAGAAGGCCCCAGTATTAGTTCACCTCAGTGTATGAGAGGCGTCAGTCTGAGAAAGCCCTCAGTGTGAGACAATGCCTGATTGGGATTTCTCTTAGTGTGAGAGAGCTCTCGGTGTGAGAAAGGCCTCAGTGTTAGTAGGCCTCAGTGAACAGAGGCATCAGTCTGAGAAAGCCCTCAGTGTGAGATAATGCCTCTGGAAGAAAGGTCTTAGTGTGAGAGAGCTCTCAGTGTTAGTAGGCCTCAGTTTGAAGAAGGCTTGGTGTGAGAAGCTTTGGTGAGAGGAAGCCCAGGTTGAAGGTGTATGAGAGGCGTCAGTCTGAGAGAGCCCTCAATGTGAGAAAACGTCTCAGTGGGAGAAAGAACACCTTAGTGGGAGAAAGGCCTCAGTGTGAAGTAGGCCTCAGTGTTAGTTCACCTCAGTAGGAGAAAGTCCTCAGTCTGAGGGATCCCTCAGTGTTAGCAGACCTTAGTCTATGAGAGGTCTCTGTGGGAGAAGGATCTCAGTGTGTTAGTAGGCTTCAGTGTTAGAAGGCCCCAGTTCGCCTCAGTGTATGAGAGGCATCGGTCTGAGAAAGCCCTCAGTGTGAGATAATAATGCCTTATTGGGATTTCTCTTAGTGTGAGAGAGCTCTCAGTGTGAGAAAGGCCTCAGTGTTAGTAGTAGTAGTAGTAGTAATAATAATAATAATAATAATATAAAATAATAATAATAATAAAATAATTAAAAAGTCTCATGGCCATTTCAAAATAGAACACAAGTAAAAAAACAAGGCAACAAGGTGAAGACAGCAGCCGATCTTCTATTTATAGTCAGAATCTTATTTTTCAGGTTCTTCTTTCAGGAAATCTGTGTTAGTAGGCCTTAGTGAACAGAGGCGTCAGTCTGAGAAAGCCCTCAGTGTGAGATAATGCCTCTGGGAGAAAGGTCTTACAGTGAGAGAGCTCTCAGTGTTAGTAGGCCTCAGTTTGAAGAAGGCTTGGTGTGAGAAGCTTCGGTGAGAGGAAGCCCAGGTTGAAGGTGTATGAGAGGCGTCAGTCTGAGAGAGCCCTCAGTGTGAGAAAACGTCTCAGTGGGAGAAAGAACACCTTAGTGGGAGAAAGGCCTCAGTGTTAGTTCACCTCAGTAGGAGAAAGTCCTCACTCTGAATTGTCGAACGCGGAGCTTGCGACTGGTTTACTGACTGTGATATATATTGATTGTTTTTAACTGTTATAACTGTTTAATTGCTGTTTTTATACATTTATCTGTATTATTATGTAGGTATCAAATTGTGCCTTTTTTGTAAGCCGCCCTGAGTCCCCTCTCGGGGGTTGAGAAGGGCGGGGTAGAAGTACACGAAATAAATAAATAAATAAATAAATAAGTTGAAGGCCATCATGTGTGAATCTCCAGTGTGAAGGTGACTGTGTAAAAAGCTACTGTGTGAAGCTCCTGTGTAACTTTGGTGTGAGAGGAAGCTCTGTGAGAGCGAAGCTGTTTATCTGCATGAGAAAGAAGCCCAGCGTGGAAGTAAAGAAGGAAGTGTAAAGAGTCCCTGAGTCCCCCCTCGGAGGTTGAGAAGGGCAGGGTAGAAGTACACGAAATAAATAAATAAATTAGTTGAAGGCCATCGTGTGTGAAGCTCCAGTGTGAAGGTTACTGTGTAAAAAGCTACTGTGTGAAGCTCCTGTGTAACTTTGGTGTGAGAGCGAAGCTGTTTATCTGCATGAGAAAGAAGCCCAGTGTGGAAGCAAAGGAAGTGTAAAGAACTTTGGAAGAGATAACATTGGTTTGTGTGTTTTGTTTTTTTCTGGATCATGCTGCTACTAATAAGTTACTCTGCTATACATTCATGGGGAGGGTCTTTTGTTATGAAGTCCACTCGCCCAACAATGGTCCCATTTCCAGGCTCTGTGAAGGGAGTATTCCTTTCTGCCGCCCCACTCAACTACCCAAGCCTTGTCAGGAAATATGAGTATATTCCTCCTCCTCCTCGTCACTTCCCTGCTCACCTGCGTACAAACTTGGAGGTGAACTTGCTGAAGAGACTCCCCGACGCGCCCCTCCGGCCTTGGCTGTTCCCAGAGGGCGAGGCAGGCGTGAGGCCATAGGAAAGGTTCTGCTGGTCCCGGACCTGCCGAAGCTGCCCGGCATGGAAGGTGCTGCGGCTGGAGACTCCCCGCGGGAAGTTGGTGCGGTCCGGGAGAGCGCTGCTGATGTTGTGGGCCGAGGGAGAGGCGACAGGGACTCTCTGGGGAGCAGTGCTGTGGCGCAGAAGAGAAAAGAAGGCGAGGAGAAAGGAGGTCATGGAAGTACTCGTTTGGGAGCCATCGAGCAGGCCATACAGGAAGACCTTTGGGCAAGCTTGCCCTGGGTAAACCACATCTAATTCTTATGGCTTTCAACTCAAAGGATCTTGGGAGAGGTAGCTACATATATACTCGAGTATAAGCCATCCCGAAAATACAGTGGGGGAAAATGTATTTAGTCAGATACCAATTGTACAAGTTCTCCCATTTTAAAAGATGAGAGAGGTCTGTAATTGACATCATAGGTACCTCAACTATGAGAAAACAGATCCAGAAAATCCCATTGTCTGATTTTTAACAATTTTATTTGCAAATTATGGTGAAAAATAAGTATTTGGTCCATAAAAAAAGTTCATCTCAATACTTTGTTATATATCAGGGTTCCTCAAACTTTTTAAGATGAGGGCCAGGTCATAGTCCCTCAAACTGTTGGAGGGCCGGATTATAATTTGAAAAAAACATGAATGAATTCTTATGCACACTGCACATGTCTTATACGTAGTACAAAAAACCCTACTTAAAAACAATACAATAAATAAAATGAAGAACAATTTTAACAAATATATACTTATTAGTATTTCAATGGGAAGTGTGGGCCTGCTTTTGGCTGATGAGATAGGATTGTTGTTGTTGTTATTGTTGTTGTGTGCTTTCAAGTCATTTCAGACTTAAGTTGACCCTGAGGGCTGGGTAAATGACCTTGGAGGGCCATAGTTTAAGGACCACTGACATAGAGAATCCATTGAAATCCACAAGCATGTGGACAATTTCAACAGAAGGAGGAAACCATGAAAATGAACATGACCTGGTAACCAGTATTAACAAACTCTTAAAAAACTGTAAATAAAGATCAACACTCTGAACACAAGGGAATTCCAGACATGAAATAATCAGGGCCAGCTAACACCTCCCAACAAAGGATTCCCTTGGGCAGGAATCAGCCAGGTCTTGAAGCTGCAAGGCCCTTCAATGCTAATCAAGGTCATTAATAACAACATTCACACTTGACTCCAACAGACAAGAGTTCTTTCTCTCACCTCGAATCTTCAACAGATATATACACCTCCCTTGCCTAGTTTCCAACAGACCTCACAACCTCTGAGGATGCCTGCCGTAGATGTTGACCCTGAGCGAGGGCCGGGTAAATGACCCTGAGGGGTCGTATCCAGCCCTCGGGCCTTAGTTTGAGGACACCTGTTATATATCTTTTATTGCCAATGACAGAGGTCAAACGTTTTCTGGAAGTCCTCACAAGGTAGGCACACACTGTCGCTGGTCTGTTGGTCCATTCCTCCATGCAGATTTATCTCCTCAAGAGGAGTGATGTTTTGGGGCTGTCGCTGGGCAACATGGACTTTCAACTCCTTCCAAACGTTTTCTATAGGGTTGAGATCTGGACACTGGCTAGGCCACTCCAGGACCTTGAAATGCTTCTTATGAGGAAGCCACTCCTTCCTCTGTTGCCCTGGCGGTGTGCTTGGGATTGTTGTCATGCTGAAAGACCCAGCCACGTTTCATCTTCAGTGTCCTTACTGATGGAAGGAGGTTTGCACTCCAAATCTCACGAGACATGGCCCAGTCATTCTTTCATGTATACGGATCAACCACCATGGTCCCTTTGCAGAGGACCAGCCCCAAAGCATGATGTTGCCAGCCACTCCCATGCTTCACAGTAGGGATGGTGTTCTTTGGAGGCAACTTGGCATTTTTTCTCCTCCAAACTGGTCTCATCTGATATTCACATGACATTCTCCCAATACTCTTCTGGATCATCCAAATGTTTTCGAGCAAACTTCAGTCAGCCCCGGACATGTCCTGGCTTAAGCAGGTGGACACGGCTGGCACTGCGGGATCTGAGTCCCTGTCAGTGGCGAAGTGTGTTACTGATGGTGGTAGCCTTTGTGATGTTGGTCCCAGCTCTCGGCAGGTCATTCACTAGGTTCCCCTGTGTGGTTCTGGGATTTTTGCTCACCATTCTTGTGCTTATCTTGACCCCACGGGCAGGGTGAGATCTTGCGTGGAGCCCCAGATCGAGGGAGATCATCAGTAGTCTTGTATCTCTTCCATTTTCTAATGATTGCTCCCACAGTTGATTTCTTCACACCAAGCCGCTAGCCAACTGCAGATTCAGTCTTCCCAGTCTGGTACAGGGCGACCATTTTGTTCCTGGTGTCCTTCGACAGATCTTTGGCCTTCACCAGAGTGGAGTTTGGTGTGAGTCTGCTTGAGGTTGTGGACGACAGGTGTCTTTTAGACTGAGAACAAGTTCAAATAGGTGCCATTACTACAGGTAATGGGTGGAGGATAGAGGAGCCTTTTACAGAAGTTATAGGTCTACGAGACCCAGAAAACTTGGTTGTTTGTAGGTAACCAAATACTTATTTTCCACCATAATTTGCAAATAAATTCATTAAAAATCAGACAATGTGATTTTCTGGATGTGTTCTCTCATGTTGTCTCTCATAGTTGAGGTCTACCTAGGATGTCAATTACAGGCCTCGTTCATCTTTTTAAGTGGGAGAACTTGTACAATTGGTATCTGACTACTTTTTCCCCCACTGTTAAGTCGAGGCACGTAATTTTACCACGAAAAACTGGGGAAACGTATTGACTTGAGTATAAGCCAACGTTGGGAAATGATGCAGCTAATGGTCAATTTCAAAATAAAAACAGGAGAGAATTGGGCCGTATATGTAAAGGAAGTCATCCTCAGAAATAGGCAGCTTGGAGAACCCACCCATTTGTTATACTGTCAGAAATGTTAAATATTAACTAGGTATTTTTAATTACAAAAATGTGAGTCAAGCACTGAAAGGGTTAAATGGATGCAGTGACTCAGTAAAAGCTGCAGACCTGCTTGTAGCTTAGTAGCTCTCAGTCTGTGCCAGGTCTTTGTGGGAGAAGGGCCTCAGTGTGTTAGTAGGCCTCAGTGGGAGAAAGCCCTCAGACTGTTAGTGTTAGCAAACCTCAGTCTGTGAGAAGTCTCTGTGAGAGAAGGACCTCAGTGTGTTATTAGGCCTCAGTATGAGAAGGCCTCATTATTAGTTTGCCTCAGTGTATGAGTGGTGTCAGTCTGAGAGACCCTCAGTGTAAGAGAACACCTCAGTGGGAGAAAGGTCTCTGTGTGAAGATATCTTGTGTAAAGCTCCGGTATGAAGGCTGCTGTGTGTAAAAAGCTACTGTGCAAAGCTCCTGTCTTAGTGCCAACAATATGGGAGAGATCTCTGTGGAAGAAGGACCTCAGTGTGTTAGTAGGCCTCAGTGTCAGGTAGGCCTCAGTGTTAATAGGCCTCACTATGAGTAGGCCTGGTGTGAGAAGCTTCTGTGAGAGAAGCCCCTAGTTGAAGGCCATCGCATGTGAAGCTCCAGTGTGAAGGCTACTGTGTAAAAAGCTACTGTGTGAAGCACCAGTGTAATTTCGGTGTGAGAGGAAGCTCTGTGAGAGCAAAGCTGTTTATCTGCATAAGAAAGAAGCCCAGCGTGGAAGTAAAGAAGGAACTTTCTTCATGTTATGGAAACCTTGCTCTTGTCAATAGTGCAACCAAATCATTTTACTACAAAGAAAAGTCCTCAGTGTGAGAGAATGCCTCACTGGGAGAAAAGCCTCAGTGTGAGAGAGTCCTCAGTTTGAAGACGGCTTGGTGTGAGAAGCTTTAATGAGAGGAAGCCCCAGGTTGAAGGTATATGAGAGGCATCAGTCTGAAAGAGCCCTCAGTGTGAGAAAATGTATCAGTGAGAGAAAGGTCTCTGTATGAGAAGTCCTCAGTGTTAGTAGGCCTCAGTCTGAAGGAGGTCTGGTGTGAGAAGCTTCACACTGAGAGGAAATCCCAGGTTGAAGGTGTATGAGAGGTGTCAGTCTGAAGGACCCTCAGTATGATAAAATGCCTCAGTGAAAGAAAGCCCCCAGTGTGAGAGCACCCTCAGTGTGAGAAGGCCTCAGTTGGAGAAAAGCCTCAGTATGAGGTAGGCCTCAGAGTTAGTAGGCCTCGGTTTCAAGGCCTGGTGTGAGAAGCATCAGTGAGAGGAAGCCCAGGTTGAAGGTGTATGAGAGGCATCAGTCTAAGAGAGCCCCCAGTGTGAGAAAACGTCAGTGAGAGAAAGGCTTCAGTGTTAGTAGGCCTCCGTTTGAAGAAGGCTTGGTGTGAGAAGCTTTGGTGAGAGGAAATCACAGGTTTAAGGTGTATTGGAGGTGTCAGTCTGGAGGAACCCTCAGTGTGAGAAAATGTCTCAGTGAAAGAAAGCCCTCAGTGTGAGAGCACCCTCAGTGTGAGGCAGGCCTCAGTTGGAGAAAAGCCTCAATATGAGATAGGCCTCGGAGTTAATAGGCCTCTGTTTCAAGGCCTGGTGTGAGAAGCTTCAGTGAGAGGAAGCCCAGGTTGAAGGTGTATGAGAGGAATCAGTCTGAGAGAGCCCTCAGTGTAAGAAAATGTCAGTGAGGGAAAGGCCTCAGTGTGAGAAAGGCTTCAGTGTTAGTAGGCCTCCGTTTGAAGAAGGCTTGGTGTGAGAAGCTTCGGTGAGAGGAATCCCCAGGTTGTAAACATTGTGTGTAAAGCTCCAGTGTGAAGGCAGCTGTGTGTACAAACTACTGTGTGAAGCTCCTGTGTAACTTCGGTGTGTGTAGAGGCTCTATGAGAGCAAAGCTGTTTATCTGTACAAGAAAGAAGCCCAGCATGGAAGCAAAGAAGGAAGTGTTAAGAGCTTTGTTCGTGTTATGGAAACCTTGTTCTTGTAAATAGTGCAACCATATTATTTGGCTATAAAGAAAAGCCTCCTATGGAAGAGATAACATTGGCCAGTGTGTTTTTGTTCTTTTGTGGGTCACGCTCCTGCTGATAAGTTACTTTGCTGTGCATTTATGGAGAGGATCTTTGGTTAATAAGCCCATTTGCCCAACACGTACCAGACATAATAATCTGATACTGAACCCATTTGATGGATTGACCTGAAGTTAAAACACGGCCCCTTCCTCCATGTTCTCTCAGTTGCATTAATCAAATGCTCAGACTGGATTTGGAAACATGTGGGTGAGAGTCAATCAAAGTTTTCAAAAGATTTCACAAGCAGCCCAGGTCTGGCGATTCCCCTTCACTTACCTCCAGGACCTGAGCAAGCAAGTGCACTGGGAAAAGGCAAAAGTAAGGGGCGGATCTGGCTCCCAGTATGGGGCAGAGGGCAGTCGGAGGACGGGACAGGGAAACAACACAGCTGCCCACTTGCCTGGGTCGCTGTGCCTCACAGTTATTGTCAGAGGGGGGTAGCGAGGACTTGGAGGGGTGCATCGAGGCGGACATGGATTTCTGGTGCTGGCGCGGGCGCGCAGAGCTCACGGCGGCGGAAGCTGAAGCAGTGGAAGCCCTGGAACCCGGAGTGGTTAGGCTATGGGGGGGAGAAAAACAAAACAGGCAGGGAGAAGCAGACGTTTTAAAAGGGAGGAGGATGGAAGAACAGGGAAGGATGGCCAGTTGTATCCATAGCTGACCCAAAGATTACCATCATGTTGCAAACTTCGGTCTTAAAGGTGTTCTGATTTCAACTCCCACCATTCCTAACAGCTTCAGACCCACTTCCTTTTCCTCCTCAGACACCTCCAAGGTCATGTGGCCAACCTGACTGAATGGAGCGCTGTTACTTTCCCACAGATGCGGTCTGCCTCACACTGAGGCCTTTCTCCCATTGAGGCGTTCTCTCACACTGAGAGCTCTCTCAAACTGACACCTTTCATACTTAAGCAGCTGAGGAGGGGAAAGGAAGGGGCCTGAGGCTGTTAGGAATGTATTTATTTACTATATTTGTAAACTTTCTCAGTTCACGGGCAACTCAAGGCGGTGTGGTGTGAGTGGAAGTCCAAAACACCTGGAAGACCGAAGTTGGCCCATGCCTGATGTGACCCCTTGGGAGGCTTCCCGACTAGAATGGGGGCATCTCTCAAACCTTGGTCCTGAATTTGTCAGTTGCAGTTCTAAAAGCCCTCCTCTATATTTTGGAAGGTGTAAGATGGGAAAGTTCTTTCCCCCTAATTCTCAAGCATCTCACGCATGTAAACACAATGAGCAGCTTCACATCCGCCTGTGCTACACTGTGCTGGGTTGTTACTACAGCAGAACCTTTGTGTCCGGTGCAACCTTCTCCCAGAGGAGAGAAGCTAGTCCTCTTAAAAGTCATCTAATGGTAAAGGTAAAGGTTTCCCCTTGACATTACGTCGAGTCGTATCTGACTCTGGTAGTTGGTGCTCATCTCCATTCTACGCCGAAGAGCTGGCATTGTCCGTAGGTACCTCCAAGGTCATGTGAACAGCACGACTGCATGGAGTGCCACCGGGATTGTGGCGCAGCTGGCTGAGTGTCAGCTGCATTAAGATCACTCTGATCAAAAGGTCATGAGTTTCCAACCAATTGTGTGTACCCTGTTGTCGACCTTTGCAACCCAAAAGACAGTTGCATCTGTCAAGTAGGAAAATAAGGTACCACCTTAAAGTTTGGGGAGGCTAAATTAACTGATTTATGACGCCATAAAGAAGACTCCAGCAAAGCATTCCAGCGGGGAAGCATGCGGGGAATGCGGAAGTGCTTCATCAGCGTCACAGATGGACGATGAAAGCGACAGCTCTCCTGGCGGCCAGAAAAAGTTAAAATACCCTCTGTCTATGTCTGTATATGTTTGTATGTCAAAAACTGGCATTGAATGTTTGCCATATATGTGTACACTGTAATCCGCCCTGAGTCCCCTGTGGGGTGAGAAGGGCGGAATATAAAAGCTGTAAATAAATAAATAATAAATAAATACCTTCCAGCTGGAGCGATACCTATTGATCTACTCACATTTCTATGTTTTCAAACTGCTAGATTGGCAGTAGCTGGGGCTAATGACGGGAGCTCACCCCAATTCCTGGATTTGAACCACCGACCTTTCGGTCAGCAAGTTCAGCAAGTTTAACCCGCTGCATCACCATCGACATTAATATATTTCAGAAATGGACAATTTTAGCCCTCCAGATGATGCATGATTACTATTCTCATCCATTCTAGTCAGCACAGCCAACAGTGATAATATTGGAAGTCACGGTCTAGAGATAATAATAATAATAATAATAATAATAATAATAATAATAATAATAATAATAATAATTTTTATTTGTACCCCACCACCATCTCCCCAAAGGGACTCGGGGCGGCTCACAAAAGCCCTTCAAGTGCCACATGCAGACAACAATATGTAAGTATAAATACAATGACATAAGCATAATCTGATGTGGAGGGACATTATTTGCCAGCCCCAATGTATTAGATTAACAGATTTCTATACCACTTTATCAGACTTGGGACCCCCTGGTGGCGCAGCAGGTTGAACCACTGAGCTGCTGAACTTGCTGGCCGAAAGGTCGTCCGTTTGAATCCAGGAAACGGGTGAGCTCCCGCTGTTAGCCCCAGCTCCTGCCAACCTAGCAGTTTGAAAACGTGCAAATGTAAGTAGATCAATAAGTACCGCTTTGGCAGGAAGGAAATGGCGCTCCATGCAGTCATGCCGACCACGTCCTTGGGGGTGTCTATGGACAATGCCGGCTCTTTGGCTTAGAAATGGAGATGAGCACCAACCCCCAGAGGCAGACACAGCAAGACTTAAAAACCTTTACCTGTACCTTTACCTTTACTTATTAGGCTTGGAAGTCCTCAAAGTGTTCATAAAATGGAATCACTACCTCTCCTTTTTCTTCTAGATGAGAATTGTCTCTGCCTGGTAAGAAGCTCCTCCATTCTCCCCGGACATCTCTGCTCCCCTAACAATAACTATCCATTATTGTTTACATATTCGCTCCTATTCCCTTCTCCTGAAGGATATATTTTGGGATGGAAAACCTTCAATTCGTTACAATGTACATTTCGACAGCTCTTTTTAGCTAAATCGCTGCCAATATTTGCGGGAGAGATACAAACCTTCAAATAATTTGATATACTTTCAAATAATATGTTTATATCTCTCTCCATATATATATGTGTCTGTGTGCATTTCCTGTGCAATATTTGCAAGCCCTATATATCTATATTCATATATATCAGATTCAGATATAATTATCTGTTTATAGAGAGATGTCTAGAATCTCGCTTATCCGACCTTCGCTTATCCGACATTCCGTCTTATCCGACGCTTTTATCTGACGTCCCCCTTTTCCTCTAGCATTTCCCCTTCAATTAAAGGAGCGCCCTCCAACTCTCTCTCCATTCCCAATAAGTGAAAAAGGCAAGACAAGAAGGAGGGAGGAAAGGGAGAAAAGAGGCAGGACCAGAAGCAGAAGCATCCTCCCTCCTTCCCTCTACGATTCCCACGCTCCTCTTCTGCATCCGGGCACTTCCTGCTGGGTCCATCTAGCCCCGAAGCATTACCTTGCCTTGCCAGTATTGTATATTATTATATTGTACTATGCCATTATACTGTAATATTATTAGTAATATTACATGTAATATAAAATATATAATTATCATATTATTATTAGTAGTAGTAGTGGTAGTAGTAGTATATTGTATTACATTATAATATTATAAATATAGATATATAGGGCTTGCGCATAAATAGAACAGGGGTCCTCAAACTATGGCCCGGGGGCCGAATACGGCCCTCCAAGGTCATTTATCCGACCCTCGCTCATAATATAGTTCTTTACCCGTATCCATCTATTTTCCATTTCTCTCATTCTATTTTCATTGATTGTTAACATCATTTAATTTCACATTCATAATTTCAAATTCCATTTGCTCCACCATATATTGGTACCATTTATTAACTGTCCATTTTGATTTATCTTTCCACCCTAATACTATTACTGCTTGTGCACATTCTATTATTGCTTCTTTTATTTCCCTTTTATTTCCCGTTTCCTCTCTTTTCCCTAATACTGCCATTTCCTTTGTTATGACCCACTCATTGCCTCCCAACTTCAAACAAACAGTTTGGATTTCCACCCATTTTTCCCTCCCTGCCATGGATACAGCTGGTAATAGGTAAATGTACATCCCGAGGGAAGCAAGATATACAATATACAACCCGGTATATGTGTATATAGGTCAAGGAGAAACTTGATGTGCGGGTGGGAAATGGATATGGATGGAGGTAGACATCTGATGGAGGGATCTGAAGCTCTGACAAGAGCCTTGTGATCAGGCAAAAAGAAAATACAGGATGTGTGTATGTATGTGTTTATGTTGAGTATGTGCATGTGATGGATGGAAAATGAAATAGGTCACCAAGGGCTGCTTCTTTGTGGAAAAATGGAAAACTGGGGAGAGCTTAAGCCAGGTTTTTCTTTTGCACCCACTTCTTCCTTGCTTCAGAGGAGCACAAATTCCACCCAGATGATGCCGGTTGGAGAAAAGGGGACAGAGAGGACTCCTTTGCCAGACTGGAAAATGGAAGGTCCAATCCGCAGCTTTGCTTTTTCTTCACCAGCTTGTTGGGCTGAAGGATATCTTAAAACTAGCCTTGGAGGGCTTGGGTGATATCTCGTTGTGCGAGTAGGATTGTCTTCCAAGATGGCTGTCCTGGCGGTGGATCCGTAGGTGACCGTGGAGCCCTCTTCTTGATCTGCATCTTCTCCCGCAGTGAGGGCATTGGTTTCCAGGTGGAAGGCAATTGGCTTGACGCACCTTCCTCTTGGCACGTTTCTCTCTTTCGCCCTCCATTCATGCCTCTTCAAATTCTACAGCACTGCTGGTCACAGCTGACCTCCAGCTGGAGCGCTCAAGGGCCAGGCTTATTTATTTATTTATTTATTTACTTTGCTTATATACCGCTGTATCTCAAGCCCGAAGGCGACTCACAGCGGTTCACAAACAGTAGAAACAGTAGAAACAGCAGTGGTTCCATACAACATATAACAATTGACTTAACACATTATCCATAAATTACCAATAAGCAATTACAATGTTGTACACCGCCGCGAGTCGCCCTAGGGCTGAGAGCGGCGGTCAACAAATGCAATAAATAAATAAATAAATAAATACAATGCACAATTATTACAAAAAACAACCGTACCCAATCTTCTCATCATCCAAGCGTAGTCCAGATTCGTCGTCCATTGTTCCATTCCTATGTTCCATTACCAGATTGTACTAAATTACTCAAACGCCTGCACAAACATCCAGGTCTTCACCTTTTTGCGGAATACCATTAGAGATGGTGCTAGTCTAATGTCCGTAGGAAGGGCGTTCCACAGCCGAGGAGCCACCACCGAGAAGGCCCTATCTCTCGTCCCCGCCAGCCGAGCTTGAGAAGCAGGCGGGATCGAGAGCAGGGTCTCCCCGGAAGATCTCAAAAGTCCTGGTGGGTTCATAGGCAGAGATGCGGTCAGATAGGTAGCTTGGGCCGGAACCGTTTAGGGCTTTAAA